TCCTTATTTCATAAGGAGTATCCAATAGAGCCTGGCAGGTATTTTTCGCATAAACTCGTGAGATGCTGCCTTGAAGTTTCTCGAATTAAGCTCTTGTTATAAAGGGTAAAATTGCGGTCTAGAACTTATTATAATTCGAAATGGTATTTGTTCGTTGACCTCATCAAGTGTACTTATCATAGAAGTCGTAACCCTATTGGTAGACACGTCTTGCATAAGTCGACAATTAACATCAAACAGTAACTGAAAGTGCGAATATGTTAATTTTTAAGTACTTTGAATTCGGAAATACTTTTTTAAGTATATACAATTGTGATATTTTATTTAAGTGCAGTAGGTTAGGGATTAGTTTCTGGTTTGGTTTTTGTTCAAGGACGCTGACCGACTGAGTGTTCATGCTGATACACAATCCTACCATTTCCTAGAGGTAATTAATTCAGAGGCTCAATTATTATTTTCAGTCTTTACCTTTCGACATAAACTAGTATTTTGCTGTTTCATTTTGGAAAATATGTTTCTACCTGGAAAATCTAGAATTACTAATTTAGTGACACAGTCAAACGTTGCTTAGGGTTTTGCTGCGCGTTACCGAAACCATACCAATGCGTGGTTTCCTTCAAACTGAATTTTTGTAATCGTACTATTGTTAAACTTAAATATTTCTTTACAAGAGTGTACCTAATAATTTCTATATTGCTCACGTCGGTTTTTATTTTGACCAGGCAACTTACGAACGATAGTGAAAACTTCATATGAAAAAGATTTTTGACACTATGCAGTTAGTATGCTAATCATTTGTCACTTGGACAATCGCAGTATGGTTCTTCTCAAGTGCGCGAGGCACTTATTCATTTTTGTCGTTTTATGAACGAATGTCAATCTCCTTGGTTACTTCAAAAGAGCGTAAGCAACAACCTAGTGTTTAGAGATCAGTTGAGCAGTTGAGTTGTAAGCAGTCAAGTTGTAATACTACTGGAACTATATCGAGCCATTCTGAAAGAAATTGAAGAGACAAACGTATTTCTCTTTTTTGGGTGGTGGCTAGTTCCCAATAAAAACTACCTCAACACTTCTCCCTTTTGCTAATCACACGAGGTAAAGAAACCAACACACGCTTTTAAAAAGCATTTGACAATAAGAACTTAAGTGGAAATTTGTTTATGCAAGAATAAGCTTTTTATAACGGGCCCCAAGGGAAACAGTAAGTTTTGTTTCCCGAGGCGAAGCGGAGGGGAACATTTAGGGTCGAGGGGCAACAAGACTTGCTGTTTCCCTTGGGGCCAGTCATTAAGTGTTTTGTTTCCTCAACCAACTCAAAAATAGGACAGACTGATGTCTTTCCTATTTTTGAGTTGGTAGGGTAGTGTGTAGGGTGTTCATTGTAAAATTTTACCCATGAACTGCAAAAAAGAAATCTAAAATTTTGCAGTGAAAAAACGAATATAGGACATCTTCGCAGCTAAGAACTCTACTGAACTAGTAGCTGAAACAAGACCTGAAAAAAATTCAGGCCCGTACGGGATTGAACCCATGACTTCTGCGATACCGGTGCAGTGCTCTACCAACTGAGTTAACAAGCCAACCGGGAGCTAGTCAATATGTTGGGTCCAAATAAACCATCCGAGTGATGAATAATGAATTTATATATATGATATTCATATATGTGCACTGCGGAGAAAAAACGAATATAGGAGATCCTCGCAGCTAAGAACACTACTGAACTAGTAGTTGAAATAAGACCTGAAAAAAATTCAGGACCGTACGAGATTTGAACCCATGACCTCTGCGATACCGGTGCAGCGCTCTACCAACTGAGCTAACAAAAGTTTTGCCTCAAGCTTTGCCCATGAAACTATCTTTGGTAGGAAGTAAATAAAACCGCATTGGTTTCTGGAAATACGTTAAAAAAAATTTGAAAGCTGTCAATAATCAAAGCAGAAAGAAAAAAAAATTTCAAAAGTTGACAAGCTCGCTCCTCGTAACACACTGCGTGCAGCAAGAAATCGTTTGCATTCCTAAATTGTGTGATATCTAAGGGGGGTGGAAAGCATTTCAATTTTGAAATGTGTTTATTTAGAGGTTCGCCATAATTTATTTTAAATTATTATTATTTTTATCAATTTACTTCGCCGTAGTGACTTCAAACTTTTGGTTATTTTGCTAGCATAACAGCAGAAATATGTAAAATTATGAAAAGCTCCATGAATCCTAGATTTTTTAACCGTTTTAAAAAGAAAATATTGTAGGAGAGAGCATTTAGAATACACTGACTGATACTCTAAACATTTCAAACGGCTAAAATCTAGCAAACGATTCTGTCTCGTGACGAAAGAGGTGAACAAAACGTATCGAATATCGTATTGATTAGCGTTCGGTCAACGTCGTAATGAGCAACTCTTTTTAAAAAAAAGCTACTCTTTTTAAATTAAACTATTCAAACCTGTATGAACATTTCATGACCAGACTACAGGACAGCTGTATTTGGTCAATCCTCAGTCTTTTGAGGCAAAGTCCGTCGCCAGGATGTTGGCGCGCCGCCGGGAGCTCTCGGAGTAAGGCACTAACATTTTTTTTTTCTTCACTGATTTTATTCGACCTGCGCTTCGGACTTGTGCTGTTATCACCGCGCCACGGACTTGCGCCACTGCTTGTGCTGTTATCGCCGCTTACGCTAAATAAGATCCTGTAGTTTAGTCCTGAAATGTTGATACAGGTTTGGCTTAAGCTCTTAAGCTCTACATAATTCTGCTGTCACCCAAGCAAAATCACCAAAAGTTTGAAGTCACTACGGCGAAGAAATTAATAAGTGTAAGATGTTTTTATATTTCACTGCTTTCGAACATCTTGATAGGCGGAATCAACCGCAGTTTTCAATGGTCTGGTCTGAACTTGAGAAATATCACCCAAGAAAGAAAGAGTACTTTTGACCAATTTTAGAAAGCTGTCTAACGGGTGTTTTAAAATAAATTATGGTGAACCTCTAAATAAACACATTTCAAAATTGAAATGCTTTCAAAACCCCTTAGATATCACCCAATTTAGGAATGCAAACGATTTTTAGTTGCATGCGATGTGTTATGAGGAGCGAGCTTGTCAACTTTTGAAATTTTCAATCGCCTCACAAAAAAGCTGCATGGCTGGAGAAAGTACCATTATTCCCTTGTTTGTGTTTTTACTGGTTTAATCCGACTGCATGGGGACGATTCATTGACGGGTACTATTCACATCGAAAGTAAATACTTTCTCTTGATAATATTTTTGGCGAAAAAAAAGATTTGGCTCACGAATGCTTCAACTTGAACAGGCTAAAACACAATGATACAGAATTCATGTTTAACTACCTCCATCCATTCTTTGAGCTAGTCAAGGCCGCGAACCAAAATTGTTTTGATGTTAATTCCAACCAAACATCAGAGAAGACTAAAACAACGTTCAGTGTCATGGTAATCAGACTTACATGTATTGATCTACACTAATCAGTCGTCTGCACTGACGAAACATCCATTCATTACTGAAATCGTCCTGACTAAACAAAGACCGTAAAGCTCGCGCCTCCGACGCCGGCAGTTGGTAATTTAAGCTGGTTTTAAAAGTGAGCTGCACTCAAACCCCCCTTAACAACTACAACAGGATCATCATGATTTTCATCGGTAACACCACATCAAACAAAATCATTGGTCGAATGTTAAAAAACACGCAATAACTTCCTTTAAGTACAATTTGATAAGATGTTGGCGGCTGCGAGATCAATTCACTGACTCAAGTACTTTAAATGCATTTCTCTTTTATTATGAAAATAGCCAAAAAGGAAGGAGAGCTTTACAACTTGGAATAAATTGAGATTTTACACCTCACACTCAAGAGTTGAAAGACAGCGAAATTAGATTTGAACTGTTTCTGTGCAAAATATTACAAAACACTAATTACCTTCTTAGCTTATGTTTTTTTTCTTTAATCTCGCATTCAAAAACAGGTGTAACTGAATTTTGTCGGAAACGTTTAATTCCTTGCTCCCAGTTGGGTGAGGAAGCGAACAAAATAAACTCATCAAAAATCCTTGTTTTCCATCAGCCATACAATAGCAGTCAAAATCTTTATCAATGACCAGGTATTGAATTAGAGCAGCACAAATTGCAATGTATGGGATGACTGGCAAGTTATCCCCCTTCAAGCAATTAGAATGTGGCGCAATCTAATAGCAAATACTTAAAATCGATGTTTGAATAATCTGCTTTTTTTCCTCTTTTGTTGATTTGAATTGACGAAGTTCAATTAAGGATACTCAGCGGTACCTTTTAACGCGGATTGGTGGGGAAAGTTTCGACAGGACTTGGGTATTAAACTTAAAGGCGTGCGTTTTTCGATTTGCCTCGCGGAAAAAACATAGACACCTGAAACCTTTTTCTGCAATACTGGATATGATTTGAGGTTGCGCACCACATCGAGAGCTCTTCATCGTTATTGAGAAAGCTATACAACGTATCCGTAAAGCTTTACACTCGATAAAGCGTTGACTTTCCTTTCAAGTTGCCATAAACAGTGAAGCACTATTTTGATGAAGACTGCAGGTCATCAGGATCAGATTTGCTGACTGCCCCAATATCAAGACTCTTGTGAGCGTCCTTACTTGATAATTGGAGACTCTGGAAGCCCTCTCATAACCTATCACGAGAGAAACTGATATAAAACTTGTTTTGGACGAACATTATACAGGTGACTCGATGATTATTCTTGACCATACTGTTGTAAAAAGTGTCTTTGGTGTTATGTTTTGTTACGACGAAAGAAAATGTACACATCGGAAATGATAGCAAAGCCCATGTCAAAGTGACTCCATCTGCGACGATTTTCTATGCTAGAACACCACTTTCTCATATTTAGACGCCGATCCAATGATGACAGTCACAGAATAAAACGATAGAAGTTGACTCCTGTAGACTAATTCTACCTTTGTTTCTACTGTTGGGTCAGCAAACTGTAGGAAAACGCTGACCAAACTCATGGCGAATTTAACTGAGTATGGCAACTATAGCATGATATATCGAGAGTACTATTGCAGTCCAGGTCTTGGAAAAGCCATGAAGATATCAATTTTAATTTTTACAATCCCCATATCCATCATGGCATTTTTCGGAAATGCTCTGATCATCCTTGCTCTTCGAAAGTTGTCTTCTCTGCATTCACCGTCAAAAATTTTGATCAGTTGCCTTGCGTGCACAGATCTAGGAGTGGGCCTCATTTCAAATCCTCTCCTCAATGGGTATTATTTATCTCCAGAGCACTCCAAGAGTTGTCACTACTTTTGGGCACTTTCCTATACCGCTACTACGATATTATGCGGCGCATCTTTGTCAACAACGACTGCAATAAGTGTAGACAGACTTCTTGCTCTATTACTGGGGCTAAGGTACAGGCAGGTTGTAACTGTGAGGCGAGTAATGGCCCTTGTTGTCACTATATGGCTTTCCAGCATCCTTATCGCTGCGGTGGTGTATTATAGCTATCTTATTGCTTTAGGTATGGCATCTGCAGGACTCGTGTTGTGTATAGTGATCTCCACTTTCTGCTACACCAAAATATATCACACGCTTCGCCTTTCTCGAGCACAAGTGCAAGACCAAGGCAATCAAGGACAACGAAATGGAGAAGGATCGCAACTGAACAAAGCAAGGTACAAAAAGACAGTGTCCACGGCAGTGTGGATACAAATGACATTACTGGCTTGTTATCTCCCATTTGGTTTAGTCGGAGCTGTAAAGGCTATCTTTAGATTGTATGTTCCGTCCCAGAGCTTAATATATGCTGTAACGCTGTCTCTGCTGATGTCTAACTCAACTATTAACCCACTTTTGTATTGCTGGAAGATTAGAGATATACGACAAGCAGTAAGAGGCACGATCAGGCAGTTTCGTTGCATCTTTAGTGAAGAAGCTTAGAAGCAACCTGGCTCCAATAAAACGTGCTGAAAATCATGCAATAGTCAAACCGGCTGTCGACCATGATTTGCATCTGACAAAAGTAGACATGCAGACCGCTACTCTGCGAAGTAAAAAACACAGCATGCTATTATTGTAGACGTATTGGTTGAGGTTTAGTAGTTTCTTTCCATATTAGCTCATTTCCTTTTCTTATTCTCTTCCCCGAAGTACGGTTTAAATCGTTTGCTAACTTGGTAACTAACGCTTAAATGGCTTCTTTCGTGCAATCGAAAACCTCCATAAACCATGAAATTAGAAGATCCTCGCAGCTAAGAACACTACTGAAACTAGTAGTAGTAAGTAGGACCTGAAAAAAATTTCAGGCCCGTACGGGATTTGAACCCATGACCTCTGCGATACCGGTGCAGCGCTCTACCAATTGAGCTAACAAGCCAACTGGGAGCTGGTCAATGAATTGGGTACAAATAAACATCCGAGTGAATGAAGATTTAGATATATGAAAAATTCACATATTTGCACTGCGGTGGAAAGATGAAATTAGAAGATCCTCGCAGCTAAGAACACTACTGAAACTAGTAGTTGTAAGTAGGACCTGAAAAAAATTTCAGGCCCGTACGGGATTTGAACCCATGACCTATGCGATACCGGTGCAGCGCTCTACCAATTGACTTGTACCCAATTCATTGACCAGCTCCCAGTTGGCTTGTTAGCTCAATTGGTAGAGCGCTGCACCGGTATCCCGTACGGGCCTGAAATTTTTTTCAGGTCCTACTTACTACTACTAGTTTCAGTAGTGTTCTTAGCTGCGAGGATCTTCTAATTTCATCTTTCCACCGCAGTGCAAATATGTGAATTTTTCATATATCTAAATCTTCACTCCATAAACCAATTTGTTGGTTCTTTTCAATCTTATACTGGTGTGTAATTAGTCTTATTTTGTACAAGTACACTCAAATAAGACTGGCAGCTACGAGGCCAGTATATTTGAATCTAATTTATAACATAGCTAGTAAATTTGTCTAATCAAATTCAATTGCGTGAGCGTGCTTCATATTCCTACTGTGCACGCTAATGACGTCAGCAAACAAATCCCTCGAGAATTTTGTATTCAATCAGAAAATAAAGTTCATTTACACGCATGAATTCACCTGTCAGTTTTTTGACCAATCTAAGACAAGATCGTTTACAGCGTAGCGAAATGTTTTCCTGGAACAAAATTATCAACGCGCTGACGCGTAGCAGAGGGAATATTAACCCTTTTTCAACATTTAAACCATCGGGTTGAAAATGTTATACAACAATTGGTTCACACGTCAGCTGTGCAGTCATCGACATATGAAGCACTTGGGAAGTTTGGAGGGCACTCAAGAGGCTAGAGTTGCTCTTGGCTACGCCCTCGAGCAACTCTTACGCAATTTTCGTGCTCTCCAAACTTCCCGCGTGCTTCATATCTCGATGAACGCACGCTGACGTATGAACCAATTGTTAAATACTATTTAACAAGTACTTTAAATGCTTACCTATTTTTAATCACCCCCTGTACTAACATGAGTTAGAACTTAAATTTTCTAGGAAATTTAACTTAAATTTTTGTTTAACTGAAAAAACGAGAAGCAGAAATTTGTAACGTTACTCCAAAACAATGGAGAATTGAACCAATTCTATCCGGTGAAACTAAAATCCAATCTAAGATACAAACTGAAAATGAAAGCGATCTTCGCAGTAATGAACACTACTTAAGCAGTAGTGAAAAGAAGGCCTGAAAACAAAAATTCAGGCCTTTACGGGATTTGAACCCATGACCTCTGCCGTGTTGGTTCTAAATAGACTCGTGGAGTGGTGAATAAACGGCTGTGAATATATGAAAGTCATATATTTGAACTGCGGATAAAGACGTGAATATGAAAGCGATCTTCGCAGTAATGAAAAGACTGCTTACACTACTGCTTAAACACTACTGCCTACGTAGTGTTCATTACTGCGTAGGTCGCTTTCATATTCACGTCTTTATCCCCAGTTCAAATATTGAAGAAATGTAAAGTGGTTTCCGTGTTTACATAGCCTGATGTAAACACGCAGGAGGTTGGGAGAACACGAGATAAGCGTATGAAACCACGACACGAAGCGGAGTGGTTTCCAGCTTATCGAGTGTTCTCCCAACCTTCCGCGTGTTTACATCAGGCTATGTAAACACGGAAACCATTTTACATTTCTTTTATAAAATAACTAATGAAAGAGGAACGAAAACCGTGTTTACATACGCTCATGTAAAATGGTTTTATGGCCAATCAGAGCGCGCGTACTATTTGAACTATTTTATAAATGACTTTCATATATTCACAGCCGTTTATTCACCACTCCACGGGTTTATTTGGAACCAACACGGTGACCAGAGCACTGTACCGGTATTTGACTATCCCGTACAGGCCTGATTTTTTTTTTTTTTTTTTTTTCAGGCCTTCTTTTCGCTACTGCTTAAGTAGTGTTCATTACTGCGAAGATCGCTTTCATATTCACGTCTTTATCCGCAGTTCAAATATATGACTTTCATATATTCACAGCCGTAAGATACAAACTGTTTTACATCACTGATACATTACTTGGCAGAATGATTCCCTGCTTTTAGAGCGGTCAAGCAAAATATTGAGAACCTTAGCTTATCATTTATCTTTACTTTTGTCCTCTATTCAAGAAAAGGTGGGAAATAAGCTGTGGGAAGCTTTTATATCTGTTCCAGACAAACACTGAGTGGACCAGGAAGGAACAAGCCTGAGCGAGGAACAAAAAGATGCTCATCAATGATCCTCGTTTGCCATCCATCGGTCACGTAACAGATCTTTTTCAATTATTTGGTATGAAATTAGAGAAGGGCAAAACGAATTGCAATGGATGACGAGTTATTCGCCGTCAAGGAAAAGATTAAGGCGCCTTTCTGAGAAAAGATGTTTTTTATTCTTTTTTTTTTTATAATTCGTTGATTTAAACTGAAGAAGTTCAAAGACACATAAAGCTGCCTTTTTACAACATTACGAGGTTAGTTTCGACAGAGTTTGAGGAATTAATTAAATAGGCGTGTGTTTCTCTGTTTGTGAAAGATCTTGACGACCATTTTCTCGCACTACAGACATAATTTCAGGCTGGAGCCCAGATCCTGCTCTCTTGATTTGTTTTCGAGGAAGGCAATGGTTAGTAATCGGTAACCTCTCAGCACGATATGATGCCTACTTCCTTGTCAAGCTGCATGAAAAAGTGGATTTTTTTCTTATGAAGACCCTGCCGCATTAGCACCCTTAATCAAGCTGCTTATAAATGCATCAATACTGTTACTTAGTAGCTAGATTTTCGGAATTCCTTCCAAGACCTAATACAGGAGACACTGGCATTAAACAAGTTTTAAAACAGAATTGTACAGGGGATTTTGCTGTTGTTCACGACTTCGATTACCGGAAATAAAACCAAGTTAAAACACCACGATATGATTCATTTGTTGCCATGCTTTTGTAGCTCTCGAATTCATAGTTGATGATATCCTTTCACAGATTTCGAAGTGCTCTTGCGTTTTTTCATCAAAAGGCGATTAAATTCTCTGAGGTGGAGTATTTTGAATAACGAAAATGAGATTTTTGCATGGAATGACTCCGTCTCAGGCGATTGCTATCTCCAACAAGACTAAATTGAGTCTAATTTAACTTAGTTCAGTGCCTTTCTTCCCAATTTACGCCAGCTTTTTTTTAACCGCATGGACGGGAACACAAACATTTTTCTACTTGTATTCTTTTAAATAAAGTTTTATTGCTGCTCCAAAATCAAATCTACACTTTATTTGGAACCATCCTGCAAGGTATTATGTAAATAACTGATGGTATCATTCAACTCAAAGTGGTCAGATCGACCTCACAGTATACAGGTCGACCCCACATTACTTGCAGTTGTTACGGTATAAAATCACAATCCCACAAACTCAATTATGTTATTAAACAGCGAGTAATGTTCTTAACAAAGAGCGCCTCCTAAAAGCAGTACAATACTTATCGTTAATAAACTTAATTCAGTAAGCCTACCACAATCAACATCCTAGCTCACCACTGAGACAATCTCATTGCTGTCTCCAAAGTGCCTTGAAATGAGCAATTTTCCGCGGTAACTCTTTCTCGGTAGAGCTTTCAAAACAGTCTTCGCTCCGACAACAACAACTGTAACTAGCCCTACTACTACATAAGTCAGTCTTTATATATTTACAAGGTGTTCTGGAACATTCCAGAAGCTTGGATGATAACTGTTTTAGTAGTATTACATAACAGGTGCGTGACATTATGAAATGCTCCAGAAAGTTCCATGGTATGCAAGTCAGCATGACCAAGCAGTCTGGAGATTTCTAGAAGGTTGTATTTACAACAATTACTCATAACGCAGTGGACTGCCATCGCATCTTGTTAAAGTCACGGTGTTTCTAAGTTTCTTCATTAGGATAACAACAAAATTGTCTTATCGTGTGCTTTACGGCTCGTTTCATTTCTCTCATCCTCCAACAATACAGGATTGGATTTATAGTCGAGTTAGACAACATAAGAGATGTCGATAAACACGAGACAAAGTTGAATAATGGCGTTTCATGTTCAGTGATAGAAACAAAACCAATGACCAAAACAAAAGGGAGATAACAAACCAGTGATGCCATTTGTACCCACAGTGCTGTGGACACTGTTTTTTTGTATCTCGCGTTATTCAGTGGAGTTGGTTCTTCATTCTGTTGTCCTTGGTGACCTTGGCTCTGAACTTGTGCTTGCGAGAGGCGGAGAGTGCGATAAATTTTGATGTAACAAAATGAAGAGATCATTATGCTTAACAAAAACATTGCAGACCCAATGCCTAGGAAAATGCGATAACTATGAAATAGTACCGGCATAATGATAATGCATAAGACCCAATGAGTACCAACGAGAGCCTTTACTCGCCTCATAGTTACAACCTGTTTGTATCTTAGTCCCAGCGACAGAGCTAGAAGTCTGTCCACACTTATTGCAGTCATTGTTGACGAAGATACCCCACAAAATATTGAACCAGTGATAAGAAAAAGTAAAGAAGAGAAGAAACAAACCCTTGAGTGCTCAGGGGCCATAAGGAAAATACTGAAAAGAGGATGTGAAATAAGGCCCACGCCCAAATCTGTGCAAGCAAGACAACTGAGCAAGAGTTTTGACGGCGGATGAAGGCACGACACCTTTCGGAGAGCAATGATGATCAAGAGATTTCCAATAATTGCAAAAGTGGATGAGGGAAGATTTATAGTTGAAATGAATATCTTCTGAGCTGTTCCGAGACCTAGAGAACAGGAAAACCCCAGGCCTGTTGTCGTATAATTTCCATCCTCAGTTAAATTCGCCATTATTTCATCCGTAGTGTATTGCGTTACCTAAGCGTTACTATACTCACGCTATATCCTGTAAGACACGATCGGTACATGATTGTAAAAGTACATTCCTATGTAAAAGTAGTATTACTGATTCCTAGTACTGTATTGTGAATATAGCTTGTTGATTCTTTAATAAAATTCAGTTGAGCAATAGCAATGAAAGAAGTAACTTGATTGAGTCTAGACGACACAACATCATCCACGGCTCTTTCTTCATATGCAACCCGAGCTCTAGTAACACTGTTAGAGTTGATCTAGAGATATCATTCTGTTTTTTCCGCTTCAAAGTGTATTGGTCTCTTCTGAAATAAAGAAAATTACCTCTTAATCCATAAGATCAAATTGTAAATTATAAATTAACGACGTGATAAAATAATAACATATTCCTAAACGCTGACGATGTCGCCGCCAAAACTGAAAATTACTAACCTGGATCCGTTTCAGGCTAGTTGCAACTCGTGCTACAGTATACAAGGTATTTTCTTACGCCTTATAAACGTAAAAATTCTGCCTTCATAACAGAACGATCAACAATATGGTCTTCGTAACAAACCCTTTTTTATGGTAAAATAGCTTCTGGTGAGGTATTAAATTACTTAATGTTCGAAAGAAATTTTAAAAAAAGGAATCAAAACCATGTCTTCGAGCTTTCGCCGATCTAATGTATGATGATGCCGTGGATCGGCAAAAATTCGAAGATTCATTTAATTTAACTCGTTTTTAAAAGTTTTAAATTTAGGAAATTTATACAGTAGTTTAAGGCCTCATCAGAAACTATTATCCCATTTCAAAATGTTACTGAAGGACAACATGAATTGACCCCTTATTTTGGTTAAAACCAACGAATAAGCGGGAAAACGGCTGGATGGATGTAACGAAAGTCTAGGTTGTGAAAATGGCACACAACTGAAATGAGCTGGTCGCTTTCCCGCTCGCTGAAAGCCAGAGGATGTTTAACTCTTACTTTGGCCAATTGCAAGTATAAGTGTACTACGTAACACAGTTTGTAAAACTACTTTAGTGACGTTATTTATAAGGGGAGTTTGTCAAAAGAAGCAGAAACCTTATTGAACTTTACAAACACAAAACGACTCAGTGCACCTCAATAAATAACTAAATATAAAACCCCAAACTGGTTTTTTTTATCCTCAAACTGTGCCTTGATATTTAAAGGAGAAAACTGAAGGTTCGCTCAGAGATGATACACGTTTGTAAGTCGCAAACAGGCAAACCACCCATACACCATGTTTCGGAATCTATTATAAAACCGAAACGAAACTGACTTACCTGAACACTAACAGTGGAGATATATGAAACGATGCTTCGGTCTTGAATTCCTTCAATTCTATCGGTCGCAAAAAGAGAAAAAACTATATTATAGGAATGAATATACAAATTATGTTTGTATATTAAATTATTGTAAATTATCTTGTCCTCGTCGAGAAATAATCACTCGTTGGCGTCTCTAACTGCGAACGAGAAGGCTGCCAGTTAACAAAAAGAGAGAGAGAGATTTGCAAAATTTGCATTGTTCGTGGTATGTTTCTAATCCTTTGTCAAGTGAAATAGCCGGACAAAATATTGAACTTGACAAACACTGATAAAGCAAATTGTTGCTCCCCCAATGACCCAACAGGATTTTTTTTCCACTCTCAAATTGTGCCTTGCCACTTGAAGTACAGAAAAGTGATCGTTGCTTTTATAGATATCTCACATGCGTAGGTCACAAACAGGCAAACCCCCCAGAAAACTTTCGGGAATTCATGTTCAAATCGAGAAGAAACTACCTTACCTTGGTGCACTGAAAACTGACTCGCACAGGAAACATGAAACGGTGCTTCGGCCTTGAATTATTTCAACTCTGTCAGTTGCAAAAGAGAGAATAAATGATATAATAAGTATATGAACATCGAAGAATAACGAGGAGAAAACCATGCACTTACATGGTTGGTAAAAATCAACGATTTTTCCAATTTAGATCGTTCTTATTTTGATAGAGTATAATGGAAGAAATACCTTTTTAAATTCAAGCATCAGTTTATTATTGAATCAGCTATTTCTATCCCCTTTAACATGAAACTCGTTGGGTTTTTTCACTGAGAGATGTAATTTTTTTTGCATGCAGGAAAAAATGATGAGCAACAAAATTTCGTTTCGAAAAGGAAAAAATGTTTATTACCGTGCATATAAATACATGACTTCCTGTGATGATAAGATTCCGTGTTCTTAGCTAAGTTGTTTTAGCTTTTATCAAAGTTTGCCTTCATGTAGAACTGACATTATGTTTTAATCAATATTTTTTTTCAGTCAAAGGAAAAAATATTTTTCCCCGTTCATATAAATAAATGACTTCCTGTGTTGATAAGACTCCGTGCTCTTAGCTAAGTTGTTTCAGCTTTTATCAAAGTTTGCCTTCATGTAGGACTGACATTATGTTTTGATTAATATTCTGTTTAATCCATGAAAAATATAGCATATTGGTCTTTGCGGTAAAAAAACCTGAACGCACTTTTTAATATAGAGCCGTTAATGTGAGTGAACTTGGGACTAATAAAAGGAGAAAGTTTAAAGAGTGTTATATAGCGTAGTAAAAGACCCTACGCAGTCTAGACGGCACATGCAAGAAAAAAAGTTGATCAGAGAATTTCTAAATCTTTTCGTCGAGAATGTCGCCAATGTCTAGAGGAGTTCGACCTCTACAACGACGCCGAACTCCAATTTCAGCATAAGATATGTGAGCAGGGCTGCACTTTGCAGAGGACGACCGGAAAATGTATCAAAACTGCTCAGTAGATCCTTTGGTCTCTCTTTATCTCACATGTGTGGGTCACAAACAGGCAAACCCCCCAAAAAACTATCGGGAATTCAAGTTCAAATCGAGAAGAAACTGCCTTACCCAAGTGCATTGAAAACTGACTCGCACAGGAAACATGAAACGGTGCTTCGGCCTTGAATTCTTTCAACTCTGTCAGTTGCAAAAGAGAGAATAAATGATATTATAAGTATATGTGGTTCAGTGGTTTGTGAATAAATTATATTATAATTATGTGTTTCAGTGGTTTGCTTAAGCTGTCTACTGTCACGACTGCCACTCGTCAGAAAGAGCTACAGAAGTAAATAATGCGCGCATTTTGACAGGTGCAAAACGTTCAAATATTATCCTTTTCTACCTGCAGAAAATTAATATTTATAAAAGAGAGGAACTGAAAACAACTTCTTCCCGAGTTATTTAGGATCAAACAACAAAATTGTCAAATATTCACCTGTTTTTGTGTCATAAAAGCTACTGATGCGCAGTTAAGACATGAAACGGATCTCCGGCATTGAATTCCGGCTTCAAATCTGTCAGCCGCAAAAGTGAGAAAAATTGTACCTTGCCGCTCGAAGTGCAGTAAAGTGATAGTTGCTTTTACAGATATCTTACATGTGTAGGTCAAAAACAGGAAAACTCCCTGCTCCCCCTCTAGAAAGAAATGACTTACCTTAGCGCCTTGAAAACTGGCTCGCACTAGAAACATGAAACGGTGCTTCGGTCTTGAATTCCTTCAACTCTGCCAGTTGTAAAAGAGAAAATAAATGCTATTATAAGTACATAAACATCAAAGGATAATGAGGAGAAGACCATGCATTTACTTGGTTGGAAAGAATCGACGATTTTTCCAATTTGCATTGTTTATATTTTGATAGACTTAATGGAACAAATACCTTTGTTTTAATTCAAGCATCAGTTTATTATAGAATCGACTTTTCCTTTTCCCTTTCACATGAAACTTGGTGGAAACCTTCAGAGTTACAATATTTTCTTGTATGAAAGAAAAGATGATGAGCAACAAAATTCTCGTTTTAAAAAGGAAAAAATACTTATTTCCGTGCATATAAATATTCGGACAACCCGTGTTGATAAAATTCCGTATTCTTAGCTATGTTTTTTTTAGCTTTTATCAAAGTTTGCCTTCATGTAGAACTGACATTGTGTTTTGATCACTATTCTGTTAAGTCCTAAAAAACATAGCATATTGGTGTTCGCGATAAAAAAAAGCTGAGCGTACTTTTTAATCTAGAGCCGAAGATGTTGGTAAATGTAAACAAACAATTAACCTGGAATTAATAAAAGGAGAAAGTTTGAACAGTGTTATATAGCGCAGCAAGGTTCTTACGCAGTCAGGAGGGCAAATGCGGGAAAAAAAGTTGATCAGAGAATGAGCTACATAAATCTTTTTGTCAAGAATGTCGCTAATGTCTAGAAGAGGTCAACCTCCTTATAACGACCCCAAACTTCAATTCCAGTATAACATATGTGAGCAGGGCTGAGCCAAGTTGCAGAGGACGGCCGGAAGATGTATGAAAATAGAAGCCACACGTCAGAAAGAGCTAACGGATATAAATGATGCATGCATTTTGACAGGTGTAAAACATTCAAATATTATCGTTTTCTACCTGCCCGTTTTTGCAATTTATAAACAAAAGAAGGAAGAACTGAAAACAACTTCTACCCAAATTTTTTTAGGATCATATTGAAAATAATACTGCTAAATATACGCGTGTTGTTGTGGTGTCATTAAAACTGTTTCCTCTCCCTAATTTTCGGTGAAGAGTTCTTTTAGGTTAACAAGGTGATGAAAAATAAAAGCAATAATAGCAACGATTCTATTGTTTTCTTTTGCTACAGGGAAGACTAAATACACTTAAATACCTGAGATATTTAATTCTAAAAATTCTCGGCTGATTTTTGTTTTTATTTGACAACAGCTTAGACAGCTGTAAATATCTGCGAAGACACCGAGTGAGTGCTGTTGATTGCGTTGATAGAGACCAATTGGTTATTAGAGCGGAAGTTATAACAAGTTTTCATTTCTTTAAGGGAGCTTTGCAAACGACATTAATTAATCAGTATTTATTGAAAGTGCGATCGGTCACCTCAGTCATTAGCGGTTTAAACAGATGATTTGAAAGTGCAGCTAGTGCATGGCGCTAAACAGCTCTAAACAATTAACTATGCAGGAACATTCTAAAATAAGCCACTGCTAATGCTTCTTTAACATTTATCACACCCTCCATTTACATTAATTTTTGATGGACCATTAGTTCTCTAGTAAATAAATTCAATGTGGGGAATAATTTAGTTCACGGTATACATGCTCGTGGTTAAACTGCGAAAAAGTTCAAAATGCTCTTGGTAACTTCATCGTGTTCCAAAGGTGGCCTTCCTATGAACCAATGAGATAAAGGGTTCTCGACTTTTCTCAAAGGAGTAAAATTTGTAAACTGTACCTGCACTTTAGTTGCTCAATGATGTTTTTTTTTTTAATTTTTCCTTCCCATGTTTCGATTTGAATTTTCTTTATGAAGATCTAGCTGTATCTCGGTTTATATGTCTAGATTTATCTTAAATATTCAGTTTCTTCTTCCTTCTGTTTTGCAATTCTGCTCATTCATTCGCTAGTCTGCCTCTTCGCTATACTTCATTGATTAATCTTTGTTTCCCATTTTGTGCTCCTCATTCCCCAATTTTCCTGTTTTTATTTGATGACACAACTCTTTCGCATAACTTTTTCTGTTTCTTTTAGTTGATACTCATCAGTTGTCATTTAGATTAGGCTTGTTTTATTTTTTTTTTTTTTATATTTCTTGTATTCTAGTATTACTCGCTCCCTTTATCCTACTTTATTCGTTTTCTTCGTTTGTCTTGATCCAATAAACACGTAAATCCTTAAATTAAGTCTGTTATCGAGCTGACCATTTACATTGACCATCTCCGCCTACACTGGAGATCTACGAGGGCCACTAACCGATTCTGTAAGGTCACGTGAGTGGATGTTAGTTCTTTGTTCGTTCCCAGCCTTTACTCTATATTCAGCCAGATGCCTGTTGTTTTCTAAATGTTTCCAGAACAATAACCCTCTTCCTTGAAGAAGACGAAAGAAACTTTCTGTTTGCAATAGAGATCACGCTTTTAAACGGAATGAATTATCAAGCACTTTTCAGTTACTTTCTCTTACTATATTCATGTTCCTCAAGTCAATCAAAACCAAAACTAACTCGAAGGTATCTCGACGGAGACAAGTACGTTTTTGTCATCGACAATCTCTTCCCGGCAGAAGTTGTTCGTGGGTATTATGGCCTTGTCACTTCTGGGAAACTAGAGGGGAAGATCTCTTCGTGGTTTTACGCATACAACGATTATTACCAAAACATTGAGACTTTTAATACATCTAGTAATTCGCCTTGGGTTGCTCCTGTCAATCCAGAGTTTTTCTCCGATACAGCTTTATGGAATATAAGCCGCAAAGTCGTGGAAAAGTTATCTGGAGGGAGAGAATATTTTCCATACGATGTCACTTTCTCAATGCATCGCAGACTGGATTTTATAACTGCTTCTAGCAAGGGTAAGGGAGATATTTGAAGAATTTTACCCATCATGAAACTACGTTTGTTTTTCTTGTCTGATGTTCGTGTTCTTTATTTTGCATTGAATAATAATAAATCATGCAGATACGATACCATTGACTGAGTAAACAATGCAGTTCATCGCCGAAGAATAGCCAAGTTTTACGTGTAAATTTACATTGATAGTTTCTTCTGTTTCGAGCCCTCGATACAGCTGCCCTCAAAACTATAAAACTATACAGTAAATTATTTCTGAAAGGTTAATACTCGCTGTAATCCAAAACAGGTGTGAGCGAATACCTCAGGATTGTATTAGTTGCTATGTTGCAGAGTAGATACAGAAAGCTTTCAAGTCACTAAATCTGATTTGTAATTCTTCTTCCTAATTGCTTGAATTCTCCTTGGAAATAACTTTGTTAAATTGGATGTTTTATCATAACAACACTTTACAGCTGATATAGTTCCTTTTCTTATCACCTCATTTCTGGAAAATGTATTTAAATTGTTAGGAGAAATTTCATTTTAATCATCTTTGGAGATGGAAAAGTTTAATACATCTTATTTTCAATTTTTTGGGGGTTGCATTTAGCAATTATTTTTGATTTGTATGATATTCATATTTTTCTTACGTACAACTGAAGATTACAAACATCATGTTATAGCTTTTTATCATTAAAAATTTCATGTTTCTTACTTTGCTACATCTTGGTTTGATGAGTTGTGGCTCTCTGTCAGAGGGATGTGGTGGTATCAATTGTGGTCAGCTGATAGAATTTTGACTACAAGTGTTCATCTCACTTTAATCAAAAGGCTGTGAAGACTTTGTGGTAAAAGGCTACAGGTTCTGACACAATGGCCAGGCAGAAGTCTACTTTCTGATTTTTTTTCCACAGCTTTAATTGATATCACCCTCCCCTCCCCCACTTTAATTTTCCTTTTGATATGAACAAAGTGGTCACTAATTTCTTGCAATAATGTTTGAGGGGAAGCAGAAACTTTCAAGTAGCTTAAAAGATTTGAATATATATTTTTTTTTACTTGATCCCTTACTTTTTATTATTATTATTAAATTTAAATTTATACCGCGCAGTTTCTATAAAAATATTCAACTGCGCCTTACAATAAATATTAAATTAGAAATTAAAATAGAAGTTCAAAATTACAATTCTAAAATAATGCAATTCAATTATAAAAACTATAGAACTAATTAAACGCCCTATTAAATAAAAAAGTTTTAAGTCTAATTTTAAAAATATCTAAACTGGAAATAGATCTTATTGTGGTAGGAAGCGAATTCCAAAGTCTAGGGGCGGCACAACTAAACGATCTTTTTGTTTTTTTACTTTTTTTTCTTTAGCTTTGATTAATCTTCCCCTCCCCTTACCCACTTCAATGTTCCTTTTTCATATTTATAGTTATTTTAGCAGTTGGCACATGTTGTAATCATTATGGTTGTTGACTAATCATTATGGTGGTTGTCATTCTTGAGAGGTGGCCATTGTTGGGGGTTTTAAGTAATAGCAAATGTATGAGCTGTTTGTCAAAATCAAAAATGTGACCTTTTTAGGGAAATGGCCATAGTGGAGAAGTGATATTTTGTGGAAGTTGGACTGTATTCAACAAACAGTTGCAAACTGTAAAGCAACTGTGATGATGATCAGTGCTGCCCTTGCTTCTGTGATTTCAATATACATATAATGACTAATTGATTAACTTTTAATTTTGTCTGCTGTAGGTAATTTTTTCCTACATTTTTCTTTTTAATGTTTGCAGAGAACAACATAGATGAAGATGAACTCATGATCAGAATATCTCTGAACAAAGACTTCAAGAGAAATGATTATGGGGAGGCTATTTTTTACAAAGACAGCAGAGAAATTCTAGCAGCTGTGTATCCCAAAATGGGACGGATGGTTGTCTGGAATGCAACAGTTCCATTTATCTTCAAGCCTCCTGCAATGTCGTATGTACAAGCACAATTTGACATTCTTGTAAGAGTGACAACATCAAAAGAGAAAGCAAAACAAGCTATTGCAGAAACAAAGGTATTGTGTTGAACTTCAACTGCCCAAAATATCCATGTTAGGGGGTCATCAGAAGGATGCCATTTTTAGAAGATAAATTGAGGGGACTCTGAAACTTGTATAGCATTAAGCCCTTCCTGAATCTAAATCCACACACAAGTACGGCAATGAGCTCAAATTGTCACAGATTTAAGTGCAGCCATAGCATATCTCAATTTTTAAATACCCATGTATTTACTATGTCAATGTATAAATTGTGATGATCAAATGGTAGCAGGTGGTGACTTACATGTAAATGAATCAAAGTTTTATCAGCATTTTGGGCCCAGGAGCTAAGGCTTTTCATTACCCTCATGGTGGGTCAATGTACCTTTTTATCTTGGCAATATTTCTTCAGTTGCTGAAGCACACCCTAGAGATACCACAACTTAACCCTTTATCCCTAAGGGTGACTAACATCTAATTTCCCACTAAAGTATCAGTGATGAATTAAGCATGAACCTCAGTAGAATTAAGGCAATGATCACAAACTTGAAAAGCTCTTAATGTTTAACTGAATTATCCAGTAGTTAGTGCCACTGGAAACATATTCAAGAACTGCATGGAGGGAATGTAAAAATTATTTTGATGTTAAGGTGTAAGGGCTTTAAAAAAATGTTGGAATAAAAGTCTATAAGAAAGTGAGAGTTTTACTCAGAAAGGAACTTCAATTGATCATTTCTTTTGCCTTACAGAGTTCTGGATCTCAGATTTCTAGAATTTTATGTTCTGTGGTTATTTTTATCGTAAAAATTCCAATTAACTTCATTGTGAGGTAATGAAATATTGAACTAATCACTTCTTTCTCCTCTCAACTCCAACAGAGATTAATTAAAAAATCAGAAAGCCAGGAAACTCTAGGATTTGCCCTTTCAGATGAGGGTGAAATTCCTGTGCTGGACTTGAGTAAATATGAGAAGAGGAGGTTCCATGACAGTCAGGGTAGAGAAATTGCAGTCTTTGATGGTCTTGTTGACAAATCAGATCTTGATGCATTGCGACTCTTCTTGTTGCACTACAACAGTGTTTTCCAGTACCAACCATTTGATGGTGTGGATGAAGAACATGACAATGTGTCCTGGATCGCAATGTTAAAGGTTAAAATTACATTGATGTTCTTTATCTTTCTCATTAGTTGATTAGTTCAGCTAATGACAAGGTTTAAACAGTAACATTACCAAGTAATATTAGGCTAAGTGTGTAAATGAAAAATATCCTTTTCTTATATAATTTTACTAAGAGTGATTTTCAGTGAAGTGTGTTGATATTAAGGGCAAGTTATCACAAAGGTTATAGTCAGAACAGCAGTGGATTATCAAAGAAGCTGAATACTATCCAAAAAACTATTCAAAGTCGTGGGAGACATAGTGGCCAAGTGGTTATTTCTGTGCTCTCTGGTCGTTCTTTTGTGTTCTTAGGAAAGACAAGTCACATTGCCTCTCTCCATCCTGGAGTATTAATGAGTAGCAGTGAACTGTTTGGGGAACCTGAAATATTTTTTTGGGGGGTAACCCTACAATTGGGCTAACATACTGTCCAGGGTGGAGTAGCAGTACCCCTAGACACTGTGTGTTACCAGAACCTTGCTAATGGCATGTTAATATTAGGTATGGCAGATTTTTAATCTTGTTTTTTGGATTCATTTGACAATAATATTTTTGTCATCATGGACTTGACAGGATAGATCAGGGTAAAATTTAACTGCAAAAAAAAAAGAAAAAATAGATCAACAAACTCTTTCTTATCATTTATTTCTTCATCCCAGGTGAAACACTTTGTAAAAAGTCGTTTGTGGAAGATTGTGAAGCTGCTGGCTACATACCTTAGTGGTCTTGATGAATGGTATCCATATGATGTGTCCATGAATATCATCAGAAACTCACATTATCCCAGAATTCATGAAGACTGTGAGCCTAATGAGGTACTGATTATTTAGCAATATATTTCTTATAACTGAATTTCTACTGTCATTTAATGTAAACTCTGCGGCTAGAGTAGGGCATTATGGCACATTTTACAAGCTAAAATGGAGATTTTGGCATTTTAGCCTGCTTGCACACTCGCATAATTGTTCAGACTGTTTTATTATGATTTTTGTTTTTCAGTTCTTATTTTCTCAGTGCTCTTCAAAAGTGAAAATACTAGTCAGACTAAAAGTACAGTTAATTTTCTTGGGCAGAAATATGGTTTGGGCCCTTGTCAGAGCTTCTCAATTCACCCTGGCCTTACAACTCAGGCTAAAATCGCTCTGATGCACTCCCACAAACATAAACTCTGTTTTCATATTATTTGTGAAATGGCCCAGTGACATTATTATTTGTGACATTTTCTAGTGGGGGAAAGAGGTTCTACAGTATTGCCTTCTTTTGCGTTTTAATCCATGTGTCACTTTTTTCATGACATAGAGGAGCTCACTCCTTGTCAAGAAAAATTAATTAAAGAGAGATCATATACACCACAGGACACCCTGACCATAGCTTGTACACACCACAGGAACCCCCTGACTATAGCTTGGGTGAGGTTTTATGAAGAGGAGAAAAACAACAGGAAGTAGGGCAGAACGAGATTGATTTAATGGGGATATTTCAAAGACCCTTTCCTCTCCTTTCTTTATACTTATGTAAGGTCAGGCACTATTTTCTGATTCTCTTTTTGCACCAAGTAAAACTACGTATACATTTCAGTTGAAGAAGTCTACAAAATATGAAGAAATAAGCGACAGGCAATTATGAACAAGAATAAATACAGATGGCTTAGAATGGAAAAGATTTAAAAGTTGAAACTGAAATGTTTACATTTTTTTTTCAAGATGCACAAAACCGTGAAGTAGCTTTTGTAAGATAATTATGGCCTTCTCTTTCAATGCAGCATGAATACACCTTTCTCATGTACCTGACTCCTGACTGGGAGGCGAATAACTATGGAGAAACTGCATTTTTCGAAGAGGTTTTATCCCAAGACGGAACACCCTACCCCCCTGGACAACAACAGTATGAGTGGATTGCTTCTGTACGTCCACGATACGGAAGAATTGTAATTTTCCGAGGGATTATTCCTCACTCAGCCAGACCACCGAGCCCTGGGTTTAGTGGGGCAAGGTACACTTTCGCTTGTAAGGTGAGAAAGTTCGTGGTTGTTTGTTGACTTTTGACGTTTGTTCCCAAGAGGGGGGGCGTGACTCTAATATCGCACAGGCACCAGAGGGCAGCCAGGTGGAGACCCATATTCCCAAGGGCCGGCCCCCCCCCCCCCCCCCCCCCCTACACCACGGCTAAGCCCTTATGTATTTCCTATTGTAAACCACCAGTCGGTAAAAGAGTAGGTTGTAATAGACAGAAATTGAATCATTTGAGTAGAAATTCACTCATTTAGTTTGAGAGAAAGCCAGATACATTTTAGAATTGGAATTTTAACTGCTTCTCCAAAGTAAATAGTGTTGCCCCTATTAAGTCAAAAAAGCGCTCAGCTGTTGAGCCAAACTAAGCACAACCGACCAAAGCAACGAGGAATCATAGAAAATATAGGTAACCAACTTCAACTACGAGCAATCGCTGCTTTTCGGCGAACTCCGTCGGGCGATTAAAAAAAAAAACGGTGGGGAAAAAAAGGTTAGCGCGCCGCGAGTGGTAGAAGTAAGACAAAGTGTGATGAAGCAAAACCAGAGCAAACGCGGCTAACTTTGGACACTCCGTTGAAAACCTATGTAAAGCGTACATTTGTCCATCGGTAGGTTGCTCGTAACTACCTTCTAGCAATGTCGAAGTCTCTACGAGAAACACTGGAATATCTGGAAATGGGAAACAGTGAAGATCCAGCTGCATATGAACTGTTAAGTAATCTGATGGCAGATGAGGAAGACAGACCACCCTTTTCGATCGAGTTTATTGAAAAACAGCTCGAACATCATCGGCGAAAGAAAGAAGAAATGTTTGAAGGACTTCGCAATTCTGCTATGAAGGAAATATCTGGAGCTAAGGCGCCTATTAAAGATGAGCTTTGAGTGCGACATTTAATTAAGCAATGTACATTCAGGTTTAAGTTAGATCTTAGATTCGATTGTATTTAATAGGAAACCAGAACGTAAAAAAGGTCTTAGGGTCAAATATATTGAGACAAGAGTGACTCCAGTGCTCCACTGAAAATGTCCTTTAGTTTAAGTGAGGCATCATTTCCCCTTTATTCCCTTTAAGCTTTCAACTCCTGACTCCAAAGTTGTGGCCATTTGATAATTTCCTCAGGTAACAATGATACGTAGCCAAGCAGACAGGCTACGAGAGGAAGAAAAACTATCAACAAGGTCTTGTGTGATTCAATGCCAAATTCTCAGCTCTAACATTGTAACAAAATTATGAATATCATAAGTGAGATTTACGATGGATATCTTGGTAGTGAAAGGGTAGACATACAACGTTTCAAAGAGGGCGACACCATCAATGACACCATTGAAGAGCATTACAGAAGTATGTCACATTCGAACGAATTCATTCAATATCTCTTCACTTATATATAGTGTTTGAACAAAGACGTACTCTGATCGTTATACATCATGAAAACCGAGGCTACGTAGAACAAGATATTTATGAGAGTTTTGTTGAAACTCTTAAGGGGAAGCATGCTACAGAATGCGCGTGTTAAAAAGTATATGAAATGTCAGCGCGTTTCAGAATCGAAAGAGAACTTGTTTTCAGTAAGGACGCTGTATACAACTTTAGGCAATTTTAGGTATTTGGTGAGCAAGGATGTAGATAATAGCCGGAAGCCGGGAAAATTACCCGGCTGTGAACGCGATTCTTCCGGCTGTGAAGCACTACTTCTTTCTCCAAAATGTTTTTAAATGTTGTCAGAAGATTGTTATTTATTTATTTTCATTTGTTTACACCTTCAAATCTAGGTATAGTGTGCCAAAGGCACGTTAAAGTGGGCCTTCGGCCCAAATACCCGCCTATCATTTCAAGATTCCCGCCTGTTAAAAACTTAAGCTACATCCCTGGGTAAGTGAACTTGAATTATTCAAGTTATAGGCAGAAAAATTGGGGATGTCAGTAGTCCCGACAATGTCCTTGGCCAAGCCTGTAAAGGCTCTTTCCTAACTTTTCCCTCTCTTGACAATCGGTTTGAACAATTAGTAGTTACACAAACAGGCAGATTTTTGTGCGATTAGCAGCAGAGCAGCATCAGTTTGTGAACCGCGCCTTGCAGCAACTTCTTTCATTGGGTGCTATTTCTGAAGGAGAGAGAGAACCCTGAGAATGAAACAGGCGTCACTTAGCGTCACGGATTTGCGTGTGCGGCTAGATTACTAAGTTTTCAAAATTGTGGCTGCCATTGCAACTCGAACACTTCAGTTACCCTTTGGAATCTTAAAGGGCAGTAAATATTAAACTTTATATGTACCTTGAAATGGCGAAGAAGCATAGTGCGCTTTTAACGAATATTTCACGACTCTTCATAAAAAAAAAACCACTGAACATAAATGTCAAAGTATTTATTACACCTGTTACAAGGTTTTTATTCTGCAATATCAACCAATTTTGAACCGTCCAAATTTATCCTCATTCGTCGACATCAGTCCAAATCGTGGTCTGATTAAATTTCGTAACACTTGATCCAAGTGAAAGTGCTTGTTTTCATTTCAGCTATTGACGTAGGCAATTCCATTTTCACTGCTTTAATGCTGGAGGTATGTTTTTCTGAGTTCTAACCTTACAGATGAAATCGTAAATTCCAACCTCGTTCAAGAATTTTACATTTACTGTCAATTTCTATCAAGTAATAATTTAGATATAAAATAAATTATTTACGAGCACGGATCGAAGGCAGCCTTATGTATATGTCTTTTCTTTTGGTTCTTGAGTTTCGTCGCTTCTTTCCAAACTTCGGAGGAAATTGTTTACTTTTTCCTGAAGAGTACATTCCATACCGTCAACATGAATCCCCAAAGGACTCGCATTGCTTCTCGGGTATTTGTCGTCGTCCAGTTGGGTCACATGATCAACCACGTGTGACATTGACAACTTAGGGAGATCGGTTATCGTGGCAACACCAAGGCGTGACGTACTTCCACTACTTTCACGTGACGGTTGGAGAGGTATGACTTCTTCTTGACAAACTGATCTGGAAAATTGCTGCAGCTTTGTGGGGCAGGAGATTTTTCTGATCGGTCTCGGAGGCGATGATAATGGTGACGAATGATGATGGGATATCTTTCTCCGCACAAATATAGGGCTAGCGACACGACTGACAGCCTCGCTCCCTTTTCTCAGAGATGGCATAAAAGGTTCATTAAGGGTATGGCCATTGGGATATGTCGAGGCGAGGTTTATCATTTCTGTCGATCTCGCCTTTGCGCGGTTTAAGTTGTCAGAGCCAACTTGCAAGGAACTTTGACTTAGCGTCTTCCGCAAGCCTCCTTCCCTACCTTCCTTTGTGAACAGTGGATCGGTGACGGAAATTTTACGACGATGAACCAACAAAGTCGCCGCCGAAGGCGAACAGTGGTCGGATGAGTTGGAGTGCTGCTTCGAGAGTTGTCGTTTTAGAGCAGTCTTGCCAGCAGTGCTTAGAGCGGGTTTTCTTGTCCAAGCATTCTCAGTTTGATTGTTCGTTTTCACTGAGCCTTTGCCTACTTTTTGCTTGTCGCAGAAACCTGAATCTGTAAGGTTAAAAAGGATAATTGATTTGAGAGGCTCAGAAGGAAAGAATAAAAATTGGAATGTTAGTCTTTTTACAAGTCGCTAGAGTCAGTGATTCTCTCTGCTTGTACATTCTCTTACCTAAGATGATTACGTATTTCATTTGGCCTTCTAACCAAATGAAGACTCTTTATCCTTCTTTATTGAACGTTTTACGTTAGAACAAGGAAATGTGGCGGAAAAGCCGAATTTTATAAGCACAGTCTAGTTTATGCGTTCTATTTTGTTCGAATTGTGGCAAAACTGCAAGATACGAGTTAGTTGATGGCTACAAACAGTCCACCTTTGAAGAGCTTGTGGGTTTCTAAGGTATGGTCAAGTTTCTTTACAAAGAGAGAAACTTGTTAAGGTGGAAATGACAATGTTTTCAATCCCAATCAGATGAACTGCCTTGTTTCACTGACCGTAGAACAATTTCAACGAAATATGTTTTGAAACATTTAAAATGAGCATAGTAGTAAAGAATAATCCATCTTCCTTGTGGGAATGAAACCTTCACGAGTTATGAGTTAGAAAATTTAACGAGTTACAATTTATGCCCTATCATCGACGCCATTTAGGAGATCATTACGACAAAAGCTGCTATAATTATTCCTCTGGAAAGTTCAGGGGTCATATGTTATTTACGTCGTATCTTTTATGTTCTATCAACCATTGCTACTTGTATAGGCCTGCCCCTCTTGTAATTGTCACGTTAATTACGGATGTTACGTTTAAGCTCTTTTGATATCCAGTCGTCCATCGCATGCAGTAAAAATGACGTAATGGTTCTTCGAATAGAAAACATCACTGGGTTGACGTTAGACTAAGAAACTGAAGAGAAACGAAATCGTTTGATAACAATTCAGTTATGACTTTTCTTTCTTTTTTTGTTACCTTGGCGTTTAGATGGAATTTTGTAACATTTAGTGTTGTTTCTTAGTATCAGTTGTGTTGTTCGGTGTATAATTTGGGCTTAAAGTCGTAAATCAATATCATTTACGTGTTGTGCAGTAGATTACTATCAATTACTTATCTGCTTTAAATTGCAAATCGTGATAATTGTGTTAAGGGCTTTGTGTGTTTCGTGTTATTTGCGCTTGCGGAAGAGAGCTCCAACACTTGTACTCCAATTTCAATGATAGTCATCCTTTTAAGATAGCAAAGGTATTAAATCGCGCTTCTTCAGCGAAAGCAGCACATCAAAGCTTTTCTCGTATTCATTCCTTTCAGTGCGCCAGTTTTACCATTCATTTCAGTTCGCGCATCCGTTGTAGAATATTTCCAATTACTTTTAAGCTGAACGAAAGTTTACAGCTCCAAGTTTCCGGGCCGAAAGTGGGTTCACGTGTTGTTGTTTTTTTTTTTTATCAAATTAACCTTTTTTTGCTTCCGATTCTCCAAGTCTGTGCTCCATTCAATTAGTTATTCTTGCTCAATGACCTGTAACAACCGATTTCTTAGGGAATATTGCTGAGACAGCTTTCGTTACACGCCGACCTATGGAAGAGCGCTCCACTTAAACAAACACTGATGCGAGAATATATGTATCTTGTTAATAACTACTCACTAAAAGTACTTCTGTTAGACCGCAGGTTTACCTTCTAGAATAATGTGCTCTAAAGTTGATTCTTCTGAATTATCCAAGTCTTCCAAGCTCTTTGCCCGATTATCGAGTTTAGTTCCTAAAATCTCACAGTTTTCACCAAAAGTCACTGTGGATGATAATTTCGTGTTCGTCTCGCTTTTGTCAATGTCTGTTAAAAGCGATATTTTTGTGATCGGCGGTGATCGGATTGTGGCCTGCTCTCGTAAGGTGTAATGCAATCCGTTGACTTCATTTTGAAGGCGGTTAAGTGTTTTCTGTCGAGCTTTTTCCAGTGAATTCAGAGAAGTTTGCAGTATTCTGTCTTCTCTATCGTTTAACCATCGCACGTTATTGCTACCATGCCCAAGATTTAACTCGCGCAGACCCACTTTTCCTCTAGTTGCAACTTTCATGCTTTCCATTTGTCGCTAAATCGTCCGGTTCTGATCTTGAAGACAAGGGTGTCTGTGCTTAAATACGCCTCTTTGACATGTTAATCTCTAAACGACTGGTAAGATATAAATCACGGAGCGCTCTTTTGTCTAATGCTCGCAAATTTTTATTTGCAAATGACTCTAGCTGATTGACAATTAGCCGAATGAGGACAGTGGTTCCTTTGCCCTTGGGATTAATTACTGAGAGATGCTTTTCTCTTGTAAACAATAAATTCGCTCACTTCTTTTGTGCACTAATCAGCTGACAATGATGATATTTGCGTCATAATACCTAAGTGACTAGGTAAAGTCTTTTATACTTTATTCCCTACGTGCGTAGAGCTTTTGTTTCTAAGGGGCGAGCTGATAAATATTTTTAAAATTTTCAGCCAAAGCAAAATAATTCATGCAATATCCGGAGCACTATCCTCTAAAACGGGTGTGATTTTCGTCTTTTTAACAAATTCAACGTCAATGTCAGGGCAGTAATCTTCTATGAATTACAAAGTAAGCGAGTAGCGGGTTTTTCAATAACGAATGCTTCACTTTTTTGAAATATAAACGAGCTGTTTCAAATTAAAAACCTATATGGGGATAGTGAACCATCTTTTTTTAATGCACCGAAACGAACTGATATTTTTCTGCACGCAAATTGCGCATCCGAAAGCAAGAAGACCTCATCAACATTTCATACGCAAATTGTAAAATATCCAAATATGCAATCGTAACCAAAATTTGTCTCGAATGTTTATTTTCTAAAAATAAAGAAAATAACTACTAAAATAAATTTTAAAAAACAAATGTTGTCTTGAGTGATATGAAGTGTGTAACTACAGATCCAAACCAAACGTAGGAAACTCATGAAAGGTCATAAAACAGCAATTAAACGGTCGTTCAGTGGAGCCACATGACCCAATATGTTCGAGTCATTTCAGCGTCATAAACAATTTCTTTTATTAGAATGGAACCTAAAAAAAGGAAAATGCCTAAGATGGGCTTACACTGAAGGGTATTTAAACCAAAAAAAAAAAAGTACTGTTAGCGATTGTGAAGATTTATTAAGATTTCAGATTTCAATTTACGAATTTTGACACAGCTTTAGGCTAAAATTTTCGGCAGCACTCACGGCTATATATATCCAAGCAACTGCATAAAAAGATCCTGTATTGCAACGTCATTTACGAAGATAATTATCACATTAGGAACATTCTGGACTGTCTCAGTGAACCGGCGAACGTGGCTTTTCACTAATAACTATTTCCAGCATAAGAGAACAGAATGATATAAGTAGTTTTAATCCTTTAAAAATATACTCTTAATTGCGCAACTCCTACGATTTTGATCGAGGTCATTCATGTAGAATCTCCAAGAAAATCGTAACATCATTTTGCAGATTAAGGTCTTGACCACGAATGACACTGCATCTTTAAGCATTTAATGTGTTTTGAGACAGCCCACGCTTGTCTTAGTTTTATATTGACCTGTTGCAAAGTGTTGTTTTGAGTGAAGTTGTACGCGATTCTTCCTGCCTGGCCGTATTTCTAAAGGCCTCCTCCACACAAAAGCGTTCTCATTTAAAAACGCGAATCTTTTCAGACGTTTTTGCTCAGCATTTGCACTGAAACGCTCACGAACGCACCGAAAAACCCCGAGTAACTTTTGAAATGGTGTTAAAAGAAGAGTCTTTTGATAACCGATAGCTTTATTTTTAATGTGGTTAGATGAATATAGAGGCTTTTGAAAAGGGTCTAGTGAAATGAATCACTCCGTCTTATGGCGTTTTAGCGCACCGGCACGCACGTGATCAAGACTTTTGTCTGTTTAAGCAACCCTCTGTTCTGCTTATTGTTGCGGTGCTTATGTTCTCGCTGTGTTATTCGAATGCTTGAGTATTGTTGTAAGAAATTTTAAATTATAGTAGAGCTGAAGTCTCACTTGTCTGTTTAGTGGAAATGAAATAATCGTACCTCCCAATTAAGAGTTTTGTCCAAGTTGAGACATAAAATTTTCAGCTGTGGAAGACTGGTATCATTCTTTCTGGTAAATTAAGCACACGTGGAAAAAACGTAAAAGTTAGTCGTAGACGTGATAAGAATATTTAAAACGACTGGCTTAATTTTTCTTAAATGTCCAGTTCGGAGCTAATCTGCATAATTTTGAAAAGACTTTAGACTCATCATTATGGTTTTTTAAGTTGAATCTTTAGGAACATATTGTAAATGACCTTATGTACCCAGTGTATAGCCCAGCTTACAAGGTAAAGCATCACGCAGCGAAATACGAGGGGCTGACGTTCGTATCCTTGAAGGGCGGGTTTAATATTTTCTTTTACTTTGTCATTTGCCCGTTACAAGTGAATGACATCTTTCGATAGCCGAGCTCGAAATGTCATCAGTCGTCATTTATCACAAAAAAACGGTCATGAATATTCAGTAGGTTCTGTGATTGAGGATGTAGACCATATCATCTTAAGATTCTATCACAGCGCACACTGTTTAATCTCAACCACGCTACCACGCTGAGGAGACAAAAAGTAAGCTTTGATCAGACATACTCCAAGTTACAGCTAAATCTTCGGTTTGATCCACGCAAACTCAGAGGGGGTCACAGCCTATTTCTGAAAAACACACCTAAATAACTTATTAATCATGACTCTTGGTACCCAATTCACAAACCAAATTACTTAATCTTTCTCAAACATGTCCGCAACACGTCGTAAACAATTCGAAACTTAAGTTTAGTTTTGGTCATCACCTATGGGCATAAGCTACATAACAAATGATTCGCATAGCTCTCTGAACGTCATCTTTTGCTCCATGTCAATTCTGTTTTCGATCTTCTATTCAGCAAGGTATTACATGATTATGCCTTTCTACCACAGCCAATCAAAATACGCCATTCTGTTGACCTTAAAAGCCCTTAACAAATCGTATTACATTTAGCGTCTTCTCATCAACGTGCGTTTGCAATGCAGATGTAATCTCAATGTTTGAAGAATTTTAATTAACCCACGGCGGCGAAGTTCACCTCGACGGATTCATTTTCTGACGCGTTCTGGTTATTAGTGTGAGCTAAAGTGAATTGCACCGGTACAAAAGTTATAATCAAGTCGCTCCTCTATTGTCTGGTGGTTTTGTTCTCGTGAAGAAGGTGTGAAGTATACGTGAGTGGGTTAGTTGGCTACTGTTTGTATTTACTCTGTTAATGTCTTTTGCCTCAGATCTTTCACGCAAATTATCTGCTGCTGTTTTTCTTTCACAGACTCAAGAACAGACAAAATGCCCGTCAGTTGTTTTGTTTGAGTTTCATCTCCTTTTCATACACTCTATATCATTGGTCAGACACTCTTTAAGGGTTTGAATAGCTGCTAACTTGAAAAGAAGGAGTCTTCTGTGTAAAAGAACAAAGGGCTTCTAATTCCTTGGTTTACTTTGAAGTTAATGCAAAAATGACAGAGGCCTTGAGCGAGCTTGGCTGCATTTGAAGTAGTCTTTAAACTAAGCGGGGTTTGCAAATTCAGTCACACAGGAGAACGAAACTGTTCTCAACAATGGTATATTTGATGTAACAGTTGTGGTCTTTATGAGAGAACTGTTCCACGGGATATGTCATCTAACCCTCAAATAAACTCTGGATTACTGGATTTTCATCGGTTCTTCACTATTGAGCAATATCGAACTTCGAGACCTTTCTCTCGACGCTAAACTCAGAATGGATCTAAATTTTAACATTTGCCAGCCAGACACCAATGAGAAAAAGCACTCTACCGATGACCTTGGAATCAAATCAACCCATGTCATAAACCTGGGAGAAAATGCTCACGCTATCGGAACACAGAACGGAAAAAAGGAATTCGGAAGCTCGGAACATGTCTGTCTGCCCACAGTTTTTGAGGGTAAAATTACTCATGAAAGGAAAGTACTTCAAAAAGAGAAGTTAACAAATATGGGTAAGTTGAGTTTGTTATGTAACTCTTCCGTTGAAAAATAAATATCGCGGTCAGTTGTGCTGCTTAATATTCTGCGAAAATATGTAAGAGTGAATTCAGTCTTGATCAAGCACCCCACTCAAACGGAATTTTAGACTGTACAGATCCTACACAGGGCCCAACGTGAAACGGAGAGAGGAAATGAAATTAATTTCTCTTCTCCGTCCTCGCTATATGCTGGCCACGCAAGCCAAATGTATCTACAATAAGAATGGGGTTTTTCGTGTAACTGCACTCGATAAAATTAATTCTTTTTTACACCAAATTCAACATACTCACATTGGTCAGATTACCCTATAATACCCGTATTCATGTAGATACTTCGATCGACGCACTTCTTATTTTGCCAATGAAATTAAGCCAGTTAATTATGATTCATAGTTTCGGTGTAAATTTGTTTAAACATTTCAAACCTGGAAAAATCGATTCATCCTTAACAGAGTGGTCAAATGGTCAGATTCTTCCATTTTTTAAGTATAAGAATAAGTTTTTCGTTTTAGCCGCCGATTATTACATTTAACAACAATCTAAACACTAATAAAAAACAAAGCCTTTTCTCCGTTTTAGTTAAAATTAAACAAATGCTAAGTGGTCATGACTTTTCTTACGTATTTATGCCAAATAAAGTAATAGCACATTGTGGAAGCATCGATGCAATCGATGCAACAGCCTCGATTGACAATTTAATTCAGCAAAAGGGCACATGAACATTCATCAATAGGTGGCCAGAGGAATAGTTTTTTTGCCGGATAAAAGTCCATTACCTCTGCGAGAATCTTTAGGGTAATACCTTTAATCTCCAGTTATGATTAGATGGAATTATGACGTAAGTATGAGGATTTGATATCACTGAGCCATATTTGATCATAAGTGCGATAACTATCTCTAAATGAATGATGTCCTGCTTATTTTCTCACTTGCAGTCTCCCTGCGGAGGTCTGGGTCAAATCATGACGTCAGACGCAGCGATCCTCGGGCACTATCCCCATGCTTCCCGAGATATTCATCCCAGGAGAGCCTGGATGATAACATTCCAAAATCGCCCATTGTAGGACGTACGTTTCAGCGCAAAATCTCTAACCCACTCCCCACGGATTCAAAGAAGAAGTTGCACTTGAGAATTAGGGGAAGAGCTCTTTCGGATTCTCCCGCGGAAGCCCTTATTAGTCCTGTTGTCCCGCGCAAACATCTAAACCCTGAAAACGACTTTAATTATTGGCAAGTACAAGGAGGTTTATCGCGCGTCAAGTCTTGTCCTGTAATCAAATCTGAATCAAATGAGCGACTCAGCGATCTTTCACTTTTACTGACAAGTAAGTCGTCTTCGGCTGTACACTCGACTTTTAAAGCCGCTGACCTTGACAGATTACCACAGATTCATCAAGAGGATAGTCCAATGTTGGTGCGCACGCGTAAAACATCCAACGAAAGACCGAGAGAGCTGTTTAATGTGAGTCCCATTATGGGTCAGTCTGGTAATTTCTTAAGCAAACCCAACATAGCTAACGATAATCAGTGTGATTTTACTGATAAAGTAGAATACTATCTGTATAGTATGTCTTTTGACGATGATAAAGACTCGATATCTGGTTTAAGCGACAGTTGATTGTAATTCACGCCGTGCCATCCTGAGTGTTTGATGTGGTAGTTCAAGGCGATGTAGGTGTTGCACCTTACCATGAGGACAAGAGCGTGTTCTACAGATGATTAACTTCACGCGCCTAAAATCTGAAGTGTGCCAAAGGTTTCATTGTACGATAAACTACAATGAACTGCTTTGCTTCACTAAATTCAACCCTCCATTACTATATATTCGGGACATTCGTCATGACCTATGCTCACATTCTCCGCATCTTTTGCTTTGAGCAGCTCAAATGATTATCTTCTTTTTTCCTTTCCGGTTTGATTGGGAATAAATAAAAATAGATGGAGACTTGGCTTAAATCCACTGGAAACATGCCACAAATGGTAACCAAGATCACGCAAGAATGTTTGATTAAATTGTTTTCAAAGTTTGTTTTTAACGTTTAAATCAAACATTGAGACAATTCTGTCAATTCTATTAGCTGCTTGCAAATAAATCCTAATAAATCGCCTCACGCTATTGGATATGACTGCTCCTTTTAAATAATTGTATAGCTGTTTTTCACTTAAGCATTTTGCAACCTCCCTGATTAAATTTGTAATAATAATACTACTAATAATAATATGATAAAAAAAATAAATTTAATATTTATAACTCAGATATATTTATTTACATATCGCCTTACTTGTGCGGGAAAACCAGTAAAGATAAACGAAATAACGCTCAAGTAGGTAATAACATACAGTGCTATTGGTTCTATCCGTTACTGAGACAGTTGTCGTGGTTGAGATGTTTGGTCGATTTTTTAACTTATCTAAGGGAGTCAACTAAGTGAAAGTCACTACATCAGCGTCTTCGACAGATGGTTTGAATCATTTACCAAGTCGTGGTTAGCACGCCGGTGAGTCAAAAAGAATTGCGCGACGGACTTCACCGAAAAGGAGGAACTGCTCGTAGTCTGTGAATTTTGATCTTAAAAAATTGAAATAAAAGCACCTTGCGGATGAAATTTTGATACCAAAATCTTGGGGAGATGTTTCTCGGTAAACCTGCACTTTTTTTGAGACTATAAAGTTCCTTAAACCGGGTTTGAGAATGTTTCCCATTCGGCCTTCATCAGAAGACGAAACCAGTAGAAATGTACTCTTTTGAATTTAGACTCTCACTAAATAGAAATTCCTTTCGAAAGCTCATTATGATTTGGAAATTTACTGAAAACGAATAAAGCTAATTATAATTTGGAAATTTACTGAAAACGAATAAAGGTTGGTCTGGAAAAAAGAAAAAAGTTTTAATGAAGAATCTGGCGCATCAACATATTACATTGCGACCCATATTTGCACTTCTGCGATAAAGTACACACAGATGACAATTTAATAAACAAAATTCCCACTTTGATTTGCAACAGCGTTAATCTATTATTAATCATCTGATTCTTCGCCTTCTTTTACACTTGTACGTCCCACGTCGGGAGAAAATCGCCCCAGAGCTGTATGAAGAATTGAGCTCACATCCAAACTCCCTGGAGTAGGGGTTGAAGACCTCCGTAGTTCCCAGGGTTTCTGCCGTCTCCCGCTTGCGTCTCTCTTCGCCCCTACCGGCCGGCTTGGCGTAAATCGTGGATCAGATCCTCTCCTTCCTAAATCTATCGGGCAATCTTCCGACAGTTCGGTTATGTTTTGAAACGATGCACTTTTCCTCATTGGCAAATCAACAGTCCCCAGCATGTTGTTGTTGTTGTTACTTGGCGATTTTTCTTCTATCTTTTCTAGTTTTTGAAGCATTTCGATAGTTCTTGCTCGGTCGCTGGCATCGTCTTTGCTGATTCGCGTGTTTCCTTTTTTGACGCGAGATTTCAGGGAATTAACTGTAGGATTATTGTTTGCCATCAAGCAATCCAACAAAAGGGAAATAGCTTTGATCGAGTTCTTTCTTCTCCGGCAACTTTTCGAGGTTGACCAAAATTGTCGCCTCCACTAATTATTCTTTAAGCAGGTAGTATTTTAAAAAGAAACTGTGCTGTCAACTGTTCTTTGATTACCAAAATATCTTCATGTCTGTTGGGAGTACTGTTCTTGATCGATGCTTTTCCGGTTTGATCGGGATTAAACGAGATGGAGACTGCTTAAATCAACTGGAAACAACCCACAAATGGTAACCAAGATCACGTAAGAATGTTTGATTTAATTGTTTGCAAAGTTTGTTTTTAACGTTTAAATCAAACAGTGAAACAATTCCGTCAATTCTATTAGCTGCTTGCAAATAAATCCTAATAAATCGCTTCACGCTATCGGATATGACTGCTCCTTTTACGAAATTGTATAGCTGCTTTTCACTTTAGCGTTTTGAATCCCCCTGATTAAATTTTTCCTCTTTTCAGTTACTTGTTTTAGAACACCGGTCAGGATAAACAAATTCTTTGCGAAGAGCGCACAAATGCATAATAACATACAATGCTATTGGCTCTGTCCGATAACGAGACAGTTGTCATGGTTGAGATATTTGGTCCAATTTTTTTTTTAACTAAGATAAGGGTGTCAAATAAAAGTCACTGCATGAGCGTCTTCAACGGACAGTTTGAATCATTTACCGAGTCATACTCGTCATTTAAGGTGTGTAAGGCCGGGTATATGTTACACACCTAGTAAGAAATTTGGGAATTTCACATATCAGTCATTTTTGATTCTGTCCATTCACAGCCTGTAGAGTGCTTTCGTTGGTGCTTTTTGTGAGGTAAGGTTAACGCAGGTCAGGAAAGAGCTCTCTAGCGGCCAACAGACCTGAGAGCTGAGGGTAATGACTGATTAGCTGACTGACTGATTGACGTCTGACTCAGAGAGTGATCAACTGATTGACTGACCGACAGACAGACTGATTAGCTGGCTTGCTAAGTGACAGTCTGACTGAATTACTGACTAACGGCTGACTGACTGACTGACTGGCTGGCTGACTGATCGACCATCTGACTGAAGACTGAGTGACTGACTAATTGACTTAAAAATTGACTGAACATCTAATTTATGAACTACTGAATGCCGGAGTGGATAAATGAAAGATTCAATGACTGCGTGAGTGAGATTATGACAAAACAGATTGGCTTTGAATTTTTGAATACAGCGAGTGGTCCCTCCCTTTTTGCGAAGTTCGTCGCGCAAGTCAAAAATAAACCAGCGAAAGTAAAAAAAAAATTGATGTCAGCGCGCCGAGTAGACCTCTGAGAGTGAGGCGCAAGAAAAATAAAATGAATACGAAAACTGTGGTGCTGCGTCGGTGGGAGAGTATAACAAGGTAATTTGGTATTATTAACTGAGTTGATCATGCAAATTGGCCACCGAAAAGAGTTTCAAAGCTGACATTTTGAACGTTAGCCCTTCGTCAGAGCGAATGAAGGAATTGTGAGTTGTGAGTGAGTTTATATGCAGAAAATAGAGATGAGAAAAGCAGCCTAACTCCCAAAGGTTCACGCGGCGCGCGAACATAAATTTTTCAGTGATAGAGTATCTTTTCCAAGGTCAGGATCACGATAATGATGACGCCAGCCCTAAAGACGGTGCCGGACAATTGACATATTACTTTGCTTTTCCCTTCTTTAAGTTTTCTAGCGGGGCACTTTGTAACTTCAATTTTCAGGATTTCAATCCTCTTTAAAGTCTCTTAAAAACTTGTGAAGATGTAGGCCGCATGAAACTCTTTCACTGACGAAAGACTCACTCTAGCTATAGGCCTAAGTAGTAGATAGATGGAATGAGAAAAAACCTATCAAAGCTCCATTAAATTAGTTAATAGCTGTCTCAGTAAACGTTTCTTTTCACTCAAATGATTAGCTGGGATTTAACTAGCGAAAATGCAAATTTAAAATGGAAAGCTTTATGTGCCTTTCTCGCTGAGTGACAGGATCTATAATTGACATTTCCTCGTTTGCTTTAGTATCGATAAGAATTAAAGAGATCTCAACGTACGTACATCATTATCCCATAATGCAGAGTCTCTGTTTTCTTTCACAACACCGTTTGAGGACGGTCAGGCCCAGAGAACATTTCCAATGAGTAAATTTCGCTTTTAGACAGGTAAGTTTCAAACAACATCTTTGATAGCGAATTTTCCCGAGTGAAATAATCCATGGCGATTGCAAATTCAACTGAGGATGGAAATCATACAATCACAAAGAGCTCTGTAGCGCTTCAGTTCTTGGAGCAGCTCAGGACATTTTCATTTCAACTTTGGATATTCCATTATCCATCATTGCATTTGTAGGGAATATTTTGATCATTGTTGCTCTTCAGAAGGTTTCGTCGCTTTATCCGCCGTCGAAACATTTGCTCGGTTGTTTGGCGAGCACAGATTTGGGCGTGGGCCTCATACACATCCCCTACGAGGTGGAATCCATTTGTCTCGAGATCACTCGAAGGACTGGTACTACTTCTGGTTCCTTTTTATCATCACGAGTTTGTTGTTTAGCGGCGTATCTTTATTAACAATGACTGCAATAAGAGTAGACAGACTTCTTGCTCCGTTTTTGGGGCTGAGATACAGACAGGTGGTGACTGTGAGGCGAGTAATGGCGCTTGTTGATACTCTTTGGGTATCCAGTTGTTATCTCCCTTATGGCGTAATCTCAAGTTTCATGATTATCACTGGTTTGGAGACACGCCCACTTTACTTTACCTGGTCTTTAAAGATATCTCTTATGTTGTTTAACTCGACTCTAAATCCATTCCTGTACTGCTGGAGGATGCGAGAAATGATTCAAAGAGTGAAGGACATCATCAGACGGTTTTCCTGTCCATCCCAAAAAGCAACTTAGATTTGTTTATCATACAAGACCAAGGTATGGTTAGTGCTTTCGTAGATTTAAATACCTTGTACACAACAGTACTACTGAGGTGTTTCCGAGAACGACTAAAATCGTTAACAAAATACTGTTTGAGAATGTGGGTCCTGGGAGTGGCTCGATGATAGCCCTTCTCTGCTGCATATCTAGTTCAACAGCTGAAAACTCATCTGCTGCACCGATCGCGCACAGAATATGAAGGAAGTGATGGCTGTGCCCTACCACGTCGAAAACTCCGATCATTAGACGTTCTGGGACGCGGAAAACATACGCAAGCGTCCCACCCGCGTAGAATAGACAGTGACGAGTGAAATACTGCACGGATTGAGGGCTGCTACAAGTTGATGTTGTGTTACATAATGATAACATTGTCCAATAAGGTGAAGTGTTGAATAGCCACGAGCTAATGTAAGTACTCGCTTTTAAAGCTGCATCGAAACGACTTGTGCTGCAAAACGAGTAGCAACACGCTAACGTCGATGCAAAAGAAATGGCGGCGGAGATCGCTAGGAACAGAGCGGGAGTGTTGAATATCAACCAAGTTGTGTTCACCGGCCTGGAATAGAAATAAAACACTTGACCAGCCGTGAAGGTGTACACGCTAATGGCAGCATAATCGAAAAAGAAGCATACGTGGCAAGCCTTAGTGGACATGCAGTTGAACAAGTGCGCGCTGACACTCGTAGCAAGCATTACACAAATCCCGAATGCAAAGCACAGCAGTGGATACACGAACGGATCTTCCTGCAGCTTGTGTTTGGCGAAGACAGAAGCAAAACGAAGCATGAAAACAGCAAACGCCAAAACATGACTCCAAATGTTGATCGTCTCGTTGGTGGCTTGAAACAAGCTTTTGAAACAATACCACGCAGACGAATCACACTTACGATAACTCGATACTATGAACGGTTGGCGAAAAAACGAAGGTACTTTGTCAAAATTTACCAAATCATTTGAGATGTCAGTTTCCTTCTCCAATTCGCACTTGTTTCGTGTGATGTTCCAGTTATTGTCTTTTTGATTATTATTTTTACTGATCAGCGCTTTAGTGGCCCCATAAAATCCCTTTCCTGTTCGTGTTGGCACGTTGGATTGCCGATTCTTCATGCTCTCACAAATTAACAATCTCTTTCAACTGACCCGGTGCAATAATGATTATGTTTGGGTAGCTGCTCTCTTTCTTTGGCTTTTTACCAGTTCATTGTGTTGTAAATATTCCGCAATTGCGCTTATTGTTTACGACATACATTTTTGAGTGCTACGCTTCAGTTATAATAGGAAAAAAAAAACGAGTTTCATCACAGAGAGCTTTACACAAGATGAAGAATACGAAAACTTGGCACTAGTTATTTTACCAGTTTTCATTAAATATGAAACACAATTATTGGCATTTTACCCATTAAACGGAATTACTTTTGGAATAATGAATGCTAAGTCCCTTACAAAGTCCACAAAACCACAGACATGTAAATAGGCATGTCCTATTAGGCGTGCAAAGAGTATTTTTCTTAAGAAGGGGTGCATAACTAAGAAAAGAACCAGCTGACGGGTGATTTCAACAAATTCTAAAAGCGAAAATGAAGAAAAAAGACTTACGACGAAGCAATAACAAAATGTGAACTTCTGGTGCTAAATAGCAAACGATATGGCAGATTTTGCAAAACAGTGAAGCTATGTTAAAGAGCCGAAGGTCATCTTAGGATTGGGGGGGGGGGGTTGCGCACCCCCTGCACCCCTCCCCGGAATTCGCCCTTGTGTATAATAATGCTACAAAAACGTTATGCAAATAATGTTAATACCGTAAGAGTGACCTTCGTTTAGGCCAGGAAACGTTTCCACGCCCTAAAAAATACGTACTTGAACAATATAAATTTGAAGCCATTTTCAACTAAACAAATGAAACACTGTTCATGGTATTCATTAAAGCCTGGCAGTAGCTCAGAGGAAAATTAACGCCTTTTAGTTTGGCACTGTATAGTTAATGGGTGATGACCTGCTCAGCACATCGGAAAAGGGTTTTATTATATCTTTTAACTGCAGATTAAGAAATGAACATGAAGCGATATTTGCAGCAATGAACACTACTTAAGCAATAAAGAAAATAAGGCCTGAAATATATATTTAAAGTCACTAATTTATCACTTCACGGGTTATTTGGAACCAACATAATGACTAGCTCCCCCATGGCCTGTTAGCTCAGGTGGTAGAGCACTGCACCGGTATCGCAGAGGTCATGGGGTCAAATCCCGTACAAGCTTGAATTTTTCAGGCCTTATTTTCACTACTGCTTAAGAAGTGTTCATTGTTGCGAAGATCGCTACCGATACCGTGCCACGTGTCTTGAACTCTCTGTTCACGTGCTTTCCCTTTGTCTTCGTCAGTCAAATACAGAACAGACCACTTAAAATATTTTTTCAAACAAGAACCTGTTCAGTTGTTGGCTTAGCTCTCGAGAAAGAAAAGTTACACAGAAATGAGGAGAAGGCTTAACTGAAGAAAATATACTTTAAAAAAATTGTCATTCTTTAAGAAAATTTGAATATATGATAAACGACACAAAAGATCAATATCATAATTATCAGCTTTACAAGTCATTAGTTTGTTTTTGACACGACATTTTACGCCACGGACAAAGTTCGTATCTTCTGTGCGAGTTTTGCGACATTTCTAAACTTGGGAAGAATACGGAGATGTTAGAAACGAAAAAGCGCAAATTAAACGTTATGTTGAAATTATTCCGAAATATTAATGGTTCATAACTGTCTTTTAGAAAATTATCAACAAAATAGGTCACCTGTCGAGCAGGTAAAACTGGGTAAACAGTCATGCATGTAAATTGTTTTAATTTCAATTGAAAACAGCACTATTTAAAATAATTAGACGTTTGTAATAACATAGTTTTAAGGAAAGAAAGGAAATATCATTTACTACCGATTCAAATTTGGTCGAAGAAATTCTCGACACTTCAGATTGTCCATCTTTATAGTCTTCTTGTACATTCAGGAGAAACATCAAAATACTGTACGTACATGTGTGGATCAGGTCAACACGGGGTCGATGGAGGTTACATTTTTTTTTTTTTTTTTTTTTTTTTTTTTTTAAGAATTAGACTAACCACAAATAGAAGTAAAAGAACGACAGAAGAAATAAAGGATGACAAAGCATGGCGGACTGCAACTAACAAACTTGATTTAATCTATGCTAATTATTCCGTAATGTACTGACCACAAATATCATCTTGCAGATGCGTAAATTTATATACTATTGTGAAAGAAAAAATTGCGTCTATAACTCTTCGCCACGAGAGCAGTTGTCTTAATTATGCATGCTGAAAACAGTGTTTTTAAAATTAAGAGTTCTAAAAACTTCGAATGCTTAACAGTTTCTTGGTGAGAAATTTATTGAGTGCGTGAATTAGTTTGAGGTGCATCAAAGTTGGTCTCGAACCTTCTCGAGTTTTTCTCGTGATACTTTTTGTATATTATGATTATCTCCGTGGAGAACAGACGCATGATGGAAGAGGTGAATGTTTTGTCTACCAAGGCCTACTATAAATGAGATGCGCGAGGAAGTCGAAGTTCAAAGTCCCATGGTTGCTTGAAAAATTTGAAATTTGAATTTAAAATATGACACAAATGAATTGGATATTTACGATTCAGTGAACTGGAACGAAGTCGGCGAAAGAGAGCAGTCATAAAAACGAAACCATTAAACCGCCTCAGCTAAAAAAAAACAGGACCGTTCTTTTCCAGAACGCAGACCCTTTTTACGAGACAGGATGAAACGAAAGTGCAAAGTGGCCATCGGAACAGATAATGAACGCCTTATTAGCGAAAGTGGTCTTAAAAAAAGCAACAAAAAGAATATCGTGACAACCAAAAGCAAACTGGAAGAAGCTGACTTGGTGGATTTCGACAAAGTTCCTTCTTTTTTCCGCGAGCCGTTTATAATATCGAGTTATCGCAAGTGTGATTCGTCCGCGTGGTACTGTTTCAAAAGCTTGTTTCAAGCCACCAACGAGACGATCAACATTTGGAGTCATGTTTTGGCGCTCGCTGTTTTCATGCTTCGCTTTGCATCTGTCTTCGCCAAACACGAGCCGCGGGAAGATCCGTTCGTGTATCCACTGCTGTGCTTTGCATTCGGGATTTGTGTAATGCTTGCCATGAGTGCTGGCGCTCACTTGTTCAACTGCATGTCGATCAAAGCCCGTCACGTATGCTTCTTTTTCGATTATGCTGCCATTAGCGTGTACACCTTCACGGCTGGTCAAGTGTTTTATTTTTATTCTAGGCCTGTGAGCACAACTTGGTTGATATTCAACACCCCCGCTCTGTTCCTAGCGATCTCCGCCGCCATTTCTTTTGCATCGACGTTGGCGTGTTGCTACTCGTTTTGCAGCACAAGTCGTTTCGATGCAGCTTTAAAAGCGAGTACTTACATTAGCTCGTGGCTGTTCAACACTTCACCATATTGGACAATGTTATCATTATGTAACACAACATCAACTTGTAGCAGCCCTCAATCCGTGCAGTATTTCACTCGTCACTGTCTATTCTACGCGGGTGGGACGCTTGCGTATGTTTTCCGCGTCCCGGAACGTTTGATGATCGGAGTTTTCGACGTGGTAGGGCACAGCCATCACTTCCTTCATATTCTATGCGCAATCGGTGCCGCAGATGAGTTTTCAGCTGTTGAACTAGATATGCAGCAGAGAAGGGCTATCATCGAGCCACTCCCAGGACCCACATTCTCAAACAGTATTTTGCTAACGATCTTAGTCGTTCTTGGAAACATCCTAGTAGTACTGTTGTGTACAAGGTACCTAAATTTACGAAAGCACTGATGATACCTAAAAGAATAGGGTTTATTATCTCTTTCCAGGAATGGTCGAGTATGATACAGAAATTGAGAATTTCGTGTAAGACCATGTATCTAAAGTTCTCAATGGGGTTAACCGTTGGCCGTAAAAAGGCGAAAAAAAGAAGTCGTTTGGCGTTAAAATTAACAAATTTTAACCGTTAGTCATAAAAAGTTATGTTGGTATGTTAGAGACCCTCTATCCATTGAGGTGTTGACGAGGGTATGATCTGAACGAGTACTCGAGTTCTTTGTCAGTTGAAAATATTTAATTTTATGTTTGCCATGTATCCTTTTTTCTAAAATGAACCCTGCAAATTAAACTCAGTCGCTACACGGGTTACTGTTTTTTACATGCAGGGAAGAAGAACAACTTGTCTTGTAAATTTTAACTGCAACTCCTTGCTTTTCTTTTTCTTTTGCCGTAGTCATGCAAACAAAATAAGAATATGCTGGAAATGTGAAATTTCCAGAAATGGGTATGCACAGAAAATGAATAGATATAAAATAGTGTTTCGTTTAATAAATAGGCGTTGCCTCGTGTTGACAGATTTATTCGATGACAAGAATCGTGATTGACATTAATCCAATAGATTGATTTAAAAGCGTTAGATTATTATGTTTTAAGTCAGTTTTTCAGCAGAATCGAAGTGAGAAAGAAGTTATTTTGTTATCGTTTTTCTGTCTCTAAATCCGCTTACCCAGAGAATCTGCTAACCCGTAAAGTGAGACTGTTGTAACGACCCGCCACAGAAGTAAGTTTATATTGAAGTTTTTGAATTTAGTTACAAGATAAAGACTTGATTTGCGTTTGTTCTAATTGCGAATTATAAATGTATTTCTTTTAGATCGAATAATTATTAAAGCGTGGCTTAATATTATACGGTTTGTGGTGGTCATTTGATCTAACCAGTTCCGAGTAAGGAAACAATAGATCATAAAAGTGGGAAATGTAAAAATGAATAAATTGTACACAAACGGAAAAGCAATTAATTTCCTGGTTTGACGGATGCTTGAACAACGGATAGACAGAATGAATAACGACTTGAAGAAGTAAATTAATGAATTACTGACTGAACGCATGAACGAGTAATGTGGGTAGATTGTGGAAGAAACGAAAGGATAAACGAACTAACGTACCAACGAAAGAACGAACACACGAACGAACGAACACATGAACGAACGTGCCAACGAAAGAACGAACACACGAACGAACGAATGAACGAACGAAAAAACGAAGAACAGACAAACAGATGAACGCATGAGGATTTCTGAAGTTAGTATTTCTTAAAGAAAATGTTATCTCAATAGTATATTAGAATATGCCCTTTGCAGCTAGAGGTCACGTACTTGGATACCGGGTAGCAACGCAAATTGGAGAGCAAGCGTTCCAATACGGAATAGGAAGTTCACAAGAGGTCACGCACGTGTACTTGTAAAACAATATTTTGTACGGATGAAAGCTTGTACTGGTATTTCCGTTTCCACAAAGCAAGTAAGGTTTAGTGTAGAAGTTTTAGTTTGGTATGATTTTAAAGTTGGAATAGGTTTCTTTGCGGCGAAATCGCGAATACGCTGGTAGCGCCAACCCGTTCGATGGCCAATGTAGTGTATTGAGAACACATTAAAAGTACTTGCACCAATTTTTGTAATATCACTGTGGGATTACTCAATGATATAACAGTACTTTAATCAAGTAACATGATTGTACCAGAGGTGGATCGATGAATAAAAACAGAATATAGAAAACAATTTAAGAGTGAGTTTGTCATCTAAATGAATACACAACAGCTAACAAACATGGCGACTACACAAGGTATATACTTTCAAACTCATCTTCCTTTTTTTTTTGTCTGTAATATCAGGACTTCCTAAGGCTCTGGAAGAAAATTCTGCAACATAAACGAGACTTGCATGGGATTTAACGGCATTTCATGGTCGATCAGTAGAGATATTTTTCGAGTGATTGCGTGCACAAACGTATGTTTCGTGCTTAGTTTACATCGCTAAAGACATTTGTAAGACTAATATTACTCCTTTCAACCGTCAAAAATTAGTTGAAGAAGAGACTCAAGATCTATCGGTTTTCCCTACACTGACCTTTGATGATGTCAGTTTGCTTGAACAATTAGCAACAAGTCATCTTTGATTCCCTAGCCGACTGACCACTGAAGTGTCACTCAAAAGTACGGGAACTTTGATATAGCTTAAACAAATATTTATGAAATTAAGTATAAGTCTAACCTAAAAACAAACAGCAGCATGAAAAATTAAAGTAAAAAAGCCCACCTGCGATAAAATTTCGGAAGTTCTTTTTTTGCAGTCGCGATCTCTTTTAGGATTTCAAGTTTTCCCGTGATGAACAGTAGGAAGATTTGAAAATCTAAGTTGTCTCCGCAAAGGCTTGTGCAGAAAATGTGATATTTGGCTAACAATAGGCAATAATTTAGGACTTACCAATGCTTTGTCCTATAATGCCAGCCATAGAGTATATAACTTGTGGATAACGTTATTGTTTCATTTGTTTTTTGGTGCCACCAGTCTTGAAACAGAATCCAGAAGTCGAGTATTAGTGTGCAGTTTATTAATAGGTGATGCAACGTTTGTTTTTCTGTATTGCATAGGTTGCATAAGGGGCTCTCTGAAATGCCGTCTCGGTAAAGAGTGGCGCGAGTTGGAAGCACGTTATGAATCACTTTATACTGAAACATTATTATTTTAACTTCGTTTGTAACTTTAAATGGCATAAGATAAACGTTCTTGATGGTAGTTTTTGTAAATCCGTGGCGTAGAATTTTGGTTTCGGCAGTGGGAGGAACAAAGACAGTGTTTAAAAGAGAAGAGTAAATAGAACTGGTTCTTAGGCTGTTTACAGTAGTGTTCGCGTGTGTGACGTTTGGAATAGGGTTTGTAAGATTAGCTTTCCAGTCTTTTGGGATTGCGTTGACCAAGCCATAGTATGTGGTGAAAGGCACATTTAAATTAAATTTTGTGACAAATTCATGCCACTTCAAAAATTTCTGATTTTGGTTTAAAATGTCGCTTATCTTAGTAATACTGGCGTCATACTAAGTTTGGTAAAAGACAGCTTTTTTTCCTATAAGAATTTTTCTGTTATTCCACACTATTTCGTTTTTAGGATTTGTTTTGGAATCGATGCCCGTTGAGATTTTAAACTCGCACCAATAATCTAACACTTTTTTGTAAAATGCATGAAGCTTATCATCGAGGTCTAGTGTGCTTGGTGTAAAGTTGCATTTTGTTAGAAAAGCAAGACCACCATGTTTATGTAAGAGCTGGTTAGGAATAATTTTCCAGGAGGCTTGTGAGTCATCTTGAATTCTGTTGACCCAAGCTATTTTGAGTGCTTTTTCCATGAAAAAAAACGCACATTTTCAAACCGCCATCTTTCTTTTCTCCAATTATGGTGTTTCTTTTTATTTTAGGGGGTTTTCCTGCCCAAATAAAGTTGAAAGTTAGCTTATTTATTTCTTGGATATAGTGATCTGGAACAGGGAGCACGGAGGCTGAGTAAATTAACTTAGATATCCCAAGTGTTTTGACTATGTTTATCTTTCCATAAAGAGTTAGATTTCTCCGTTGCCAAGTGATTAGCGTTTTCTCGAGATTACGTATTTTTTCACCGAAGTTCAGTCTATTAGCACTTTCTTGGTTATGGGAAAAAAAGACACCAAGGGCATTGACAGGTTCTTTTGGCCATTTACAACCAAAGGGTTCATCTGTCCGGTCTTTCCATTCGCCTAACCACATTGCTTCGGTTTTAGTTGTGTTTATTTCTAGGCCAGAAAGTTCTTTGAACTCATTTAAAACCTTCAATAGACTCACGACGGAATCGAGGTCACGAACAAATACTGTTGTGTCGTCGGCATATTGACTTATTTTAAGCTCATGCTTGTAGATACATAATAATACATAATAATAATAATACATAATACATAATGATAACTTGTTTTTTTGCAAAAGAATTGTTTTTGATTCAATATTTTCCCAGTAAAATGAAGACAAGGTGGACAGTTTTTTCTTTAGTCATTGATACACTGACTGTTCTTCAACACATACTATGGTCAATTACAGAAACGTGATAATGCATGTTATACAGAGGATATACAATATTAGAATGTAATATTTCCTGCATATCATAATTATAATTTGTGAAGTCAATTTAGCTTTTGCATAAAAACTGGTAAATTGCAAGCTTACATTCTAGCAATAAACCAAGTTGACTCAGTAGAATGACACATGAAGATATGTTGAATTTAGTATCAGTACTGTTACACTTTGAACTATTATGTAAAATAGGTAGTCATAGACCTCTATGAAGTGTCATGTAATTCTTTTTATTGACACTTTTCACTGTTTTTTTTAAACTACAACATATATTAAGCTTCTTCATTTTGCTTGTCACTATCAGCTAAAATCAGTGGTCCTTCAAAATTTGTAAGAAGACAGGCTACAGAAAATAATTGATTAACTGAACCTAAGTAGATAAGGAGCATCTGAATCAAAAAAGTCATATTCTTTGACCCTTCTAAAAGCCCGTTCAACCACAGGCGGCTCAAGCTCCCGTATCGAGAAAAAGCCAACGATTAATTCATGAACGCGTCACGCGTTGTGTGACTTGGTGTTAAGTTACGAGAGGAACCGTTGGAAATTTGAACACGTTATAAGGAATAGTATGGGGAACGAAATATGGTCGATTTACAACGGTAAATATTTCGAAATATGAATATTTTACACGTAAAATCAATAACACTTACTCACATCCTGTGTGTCCGTCGTAGTTTCAGGCGATTTCTTCCGTTTTAGACTTGCTTTACCGTCACTGTTGTTCCTTTGACAGGAATAACAGTGATGGTAAAGCAAGCTTAAAACAGCAGAAATCGCCGGAAACTACATACCCAATAAAATTATTTTGAATCTTTATCTGTGCCAAATCTCTCCAGCCCAAAATTATTGAGTGCCAATTGTTCAGCGGCTTGCCTTTTAATTTTTTCAATCTCTCTTACAGCTTGGGTTTTCACTACTTTTACTTCCTCTTCAAATACTTTAGTTTCATCTCTAATTTCCTGTCGCTGTTCCTGCAAAGCCAGTAGCTGTGCCTTGATGGACTGAATTTCTGATTGTATGCTGTCTATGGGTGGCCTAACTTCTGATTGACTTTCATGCTCATCATCACTGTTATCTGCTTGGGTATCTCTGCGAAGAGAAGAGTAAAATAATGTTATTGAAATATTTTCAGATTACCATGAGTACAATTTATTAATTAATGCACTGAATTTTCATAAGGAATCAATTTTACTAAAATGGCATCACTGAAATATTCACGTTTGATCATCGACACCTTTCCACTCGAATGTGTCCGTTATGGGCAAATGAATTTCCGTAAAATTGTCCTGCGACGAGGCGATTCCCACACTACCCAGTATGAAGAGGGTGATCTCCTGAAAAAGATTTACATGCAGAAAACCACGCCAAAAGAACTTGACCCCTTTTCATTTGATACGGGAGATGACCTTCAAAACAGGTTTAATGGATTTTGATCAACCAAACGTCATAGGCTGCGTGACAAACTCGAATGACAGCATTATAGAGGTAAGCGGTTGCTGCCAATTCCAATTCAGATGTGGACGCGACTCACTAGAGCGAAAGATGTTGTCACATAGTGTAACGTGGTGTGTTTTTTCGCTATTTTAACCGACTTTCCGTGGCCTTTAAGCAAGATGATGGAAGAAGAGGACTCGTATGGCTTTGAGCAAACTCTGGTAAGTAGTATTGCTCTACCCGTAATGAGTTCACTCACATTGTGAACAACTTTGTATTCAGACGCGAATGGTGTGTGGATCTGCTGCGGCAAAGTATTTCACCATCGTAACTTGAATGAGCATTGCTACGTGTAACTTACGCTTTCGTGATTGTAATTTTTAATATTGTTACTCGCTGTGATTTATTCTTGAAGGAAAATTAAACCATTGAGCATCAGACACAAACAGATATATGTTTTAACACATTCAAAGCCTTTTGCCCTCGTTGGTTACAATGTTATCCGAAAGGAAAGATATCGTTTTCAGTGTTTCTCACTTCTTAACAGGAATCATTTTTATTCAAGCATACATCGACTCAGAGTTATGATTACCTTTAAGCTCCTGCGAAATATATCTACAACTGTTATGCTTTTTAAAAGTGACTATGAAGAGATTTAGGCTAATGCTTAAGCTTGGATGTTTATACAACTTTGAAAATATAAACATCACTTTCTTTTCGCAAGATCAATGATATTAATTCTAATGTTAAAGTTATTCATTTTTTCTTGATATTGTCAACGATCCTTCGTAAACTGTCGAGTTAAGATTGTTAGGAAATCAATCCTTATTTTATGACGTGTTGATTTTATTAAGTGAGCTGCTTGTACAATTATTTCTTCCACTATCGGTATATATGACAATAGGATCAAGTCAAACAGCTGGCAATTTTCCCATAAAAAATATCTGTCACGTTTAATCAGCTGTGATTTTAATTCGTTCACCTGAGGAATCAAATGTGTTCAAATGTGTTGGTCGTTCGCAGTGTTATTTTCTAATATAAGAGGTGTAAAAACATGTCATCAGATACATTTACCACCGTATTTCTCAGTCGTAGAGCAGAGTATGATAACATTAAAGGTCGCTCAATGACCATCATATATCACTACATGTCATTCCAGTTTAAGAACCAAAATATTGTATTTTTTGTGAATGAGAGATGCCATAAGATAATGAATTTACATTCGCATTCCTTTCAAATGATCTTCTTGGTAAGAATTGTATTTTGTCTCGCTAATGCAGGGCTTCCAACTAGACAGTAAACAATGATAGATCTTGACAAGATCTTTTGCATGTCATGCAATTTTTACCCTGTGTCTTAAAGCAGTCAGCTATGGCAAAATGTCTGGCAGTCAGAAATTTTTACAGAATTTCCACTAAAAGGTTCTTTCAAATTTCTTAAGAGCATCAATGTTTGTTTAGAATGTCAAGCGATTCCAAAAGTTACTGCAGGATTTAAGACAACAAATCTTTCTGTGCTTTTACTTTCCATAAAATGGATGTTAAATGAAAAAACATTTTTGATCTAGTGATATATGGTATCCACAAGCTTGGAATATTTGTCCACTAAAAAAACCATGGTAATTTTTGGAAGTGCTTGGCATTTCTACACAAACATCAAACATTCTCATTAGCTTTGCATGAGGTATTTTGTGGGAATACTGTCAATATTTCTGAGTGTTGGGTACTGTTTCAAATGGATTAAATGCCCTGCAGTCTATGGAAATTCTGTGAAAATTTATGACCTCAGGGCATTTAGTCCATTTAGACTGTGAGTGGCTGCCATGTATTTAGACACAGCTTCATTTTAAATCTAAGCAAACAAGCATTCAGAAAAGGACTTTTGTGCCATATTCTGCAGACCAGTCTATTATCTTTTCCAAAACAGATGTTGACCTTACTGAAGAATGACATGCCATAGTCTAGCTGACTATGCTTTGTAAAAAAATGGAGTTTACATTGTAAAATAGCTAGGTATAAGAAAATATTTTTTATCTAGCAGTTATATGGCTTTGAAGATTTGTCCTTCAAAATCCATGGTAATTACTTTGCTTTTCTAAACAATCATCAAACCAACATTAGGTTTGCATGAAGTATTTTGTGGAAATTCAGTGAATTGACACATTTTCTTGTAAATTACATGAAGTTACAATTATTTGGTGTTAGATCAAGATGACAACTTCTACCTGATGTGTTTGTGTATTCTCATTACCTGTTTGCTGGATTATGTATGAAGATTACAGGGAGAAATCATATGTTAATCACTTCTGGAAGTTAATAGAGATAATAGTGTGTGAAGAAGGATCAAGGATAGATAAGGATGGAGAGGATTAACCCTTTAACTCCCAAGGTCTGATTGTTAATTCTCCCCTCTATTTACTTGTAAATTAGTTATGAGATTTTGGTGTTAGATCAAGTTAACAACATCTACCTGATAAGTTTGAATATTCTCATCACCTGTTTACTGGATAATGTAAGAATATTATAGGGAGAAGTTTCATGTTGATCACTTCTGGGAGTTAAGGGGTTAAGTGGGATTGCAAACAATTTGTGCAACAATTTTCAAGATGCACAGATTGTGTTGCTGTTCTTTTAAAGCATATTCTGTCATATTTACTCACTGTTTGTTATTCTCAATATCTAGATGTATGGTCGTTTTACGACCACACAACTTCAGAAATATGCTAAAGAACAAGGTGCACGGCTACGAAGAGAACAGCAGCAAAGGAGAGGAGAACAACAAGAAGCAGACGATGACTTTAGAACTTATGACAGTTCGTGGCTTGGATCAGTGAAAAGTGAGTAAACTTGAAGCTGGAACAATTATATTTTGGAAATAATGTTCAAGCTTGAAGGATAGAACATGTATGTGACATGCTGATTTACAGCGATACTTGACCAGCCAGTCTCATGCTATGATGAAGTGAATTTTTGTGAAGATCTTTGAAAACAAATTTTTTTGTTCTCCCAACAAGTTGGGCTGAGTTTGTGTGATGATTGCATTTAATTCATAAAGTAAGGTTTTGGATACTCTACAACCAACAAGGTTGCAGCAACTTTTTTGCCTAATTTGTCCATCAAAATTACAGCAACTTTTTAACAGACCTTAAAGAAATTTTTGTCACTTGAGTGCAATCACAGTTTAGTATAAGTCTAGGAGAGTGGTTGTTCAGGTTTGTGCCCCTATTACTGGACAAATTGTGTTATAACATTTGCTTAGACATCCAACTTTGAGTGAAGACCAACAAAACTAGTCTCAGCACCCCCATTACCCATTGAAAGGGATAATGCTCAAAACATCAGCTGTGAAATTCTTAATGGCTTCCAATTTACATTATCAACTCAGTTGATAATACCAAACAATCTTGTTCTTTTAGAACTTTTCTTTTGAAACTTACCCCCTTTATGGTTTGGAGCATAGATGCATTGGGATATACATAGTCTTTGAACATTTTGAAAGTGCCTATTTATTTTAAATTACACTTAGAATCAGTTAATCCCTTGTTGATATTCACCTTTCTGCCTGTACTTTCAACTTTCATTATTAAATTTGAACTTTCCACTCCATGTGGAATTAATTAACTCTCTCTCAGCCAATGGACATGCTGAAATTTTTTGCATCTTTATTTACCAGGCAGTTAAATGAACTCTCTTTGATAGAAGCAACAAAATAGATATCAAACCTTAAACTGTCCTTCATTCTGTTATTTTTAAAATTTTTTTTTAAATTGTAGCTCAATTGCTCTGAACCTGTTCTAAGGGCAGTTGTGTCTTAACTTTAGTGAATAAAGAGAGCTTTTGATAGAGTATTGTTAACCCTTTAACTCCCTCAAGTGATCAACTTGTAACTTTTGCCTAAAATATCCCTACAAAGATCCCAACATTAAGGAACAAATTGTTACCTGGATCTAACACCAAATTTTTGTAACTTATTTACAAGGTAATGTGTAGCAGCTAGGGGGAAATTACCAATTAGAGGGTTGACCCTTCAATTTCCAAATGTGTCATGGTCAGCTAAAGTGTATATAAAATGTTTTCCTTCCTCTTTCTATGATGAAAAAACCATTACATCTAAGGAAACTACAAAGCACAAAATTGAGATGATAGAAAATACTTAACTCTTTAATTCCCAAGATCTGATTGTTAATTCTCCCCTTAACTGCGACACATTTCATCAAAAATTATTTATAAGAATTTGTTGTTGAATCAAGATCACAATTACCCGACAATTTTGAGTATTCTCATTACCTGTTTGCTGTATCATGTTGAGATGTTAAAGGGAGAAGTTACTTGTTAATCAATTGCCGGAGTTAAAGAGTTCAACAAACTCAATTATGACTTCAATTTATCAGTGAAAATATGTTTTTCTCTTCAAAACAATAGTTTCTATGTTGTCATTTATTATTCTCTCAGTTAATTTATCAAAGATTCTACAGTGCAATAATTTATTATACATTGCAGTTTAAATCATGTTTTTTTTTTATTGCCGGGGAAATGAATGACATTATTCTATGAAGAAGGAGAGGATAGGTGTTACAAACCTTAATTTTTCTTAGCCTTTATGTCATTTTACAAATGTATGGTCAAAATAGATTAATGGACCATAAGTGGTACAAGTTCCTGGAGAAACAAGAAAATTGATGCATTGTGTCAAAGGAATCAAGGGGTAGAATCACACTGCCTTTTGAGGTTTTTTTTTTTTTTTTTTCATTTAAAAAAATTACTCTATGTTAGCATGTAGAGTGGTATGTTGCTTGCACCAGTCAGATTGCTGCATTAAGGTAGGGTTTGAGTCTGGCACCAGTCATATCACAGCATTCAGATATCGTGCACCAATCACAGCATTTGGGTATTGGTTTCTTTTAAATGATGTCATGGAATCAGAGGGCTGTGCACAATGACATTGACCAAAAATTTGGGCTCATTTGATAAGCATTATGATTGGGGCCTTTGCAAGAGCCTTATCAAGTGAAGTCAAGATTTAACAAGATATGAAAGGTGTGCATTTATTTTTGTATCATTTTTAAGTTAAAGTGTGTTTTTCCGCTCCTTTTCTCACAATGCACACACCAAAAAACTTGCATGTGATTGCATACTATGAAAAAAACATCCAAAGTCTAATCAGAACATAGCCAATCATCGCACTACATGTCAACTTAAGGCAATTTTTCATGTGCTTAAATTGTACTCTACCAATCAAATTCCATTTTGCCTTAATAGACTTCCCTTCATCACATGCAATTTCCTTGTAAACAACCTGCATTTTATGATGTATTCTAAATGCATTATCCAACACCACTGAAAAATTTCATATCAAACTTTATACTACTGATAGTGAATTTTCCACACAATTCTCCAGGGTTTTGACTTTTTCTATGAACAAAATCAGCTTTTAGCTACCTTGGACTTAACCCAATCACATGACAATTCCTTGTAAACAACCTGCAAATTAACAACCAAACAAGGAACCTTCTTTGAAATATTATCATTTTCTTCATTCATTTGAGATCACAATTAGTCTTTGCTTGGGTTCTGATTGAGATACAATAGAGTTTCAGTTTGTTTTTCGAGGTAAAATTATGTGGAAATATATTTTTTAGGCAACTAACAGTAGACAAATAATGTTGATTTTCTCTCTCTGTTAGAGGAACAGTAGTAAATGTAGTCCCTTTCAAAACCATTATTTGGTCTTGTCATGTGATGCTCTCTCTCTCTCTACAATGGGGAATAGATGGTATTGTGTAACAAGACCAAACAATAGCTGCAGAGACAACAGTACGCATGGCACAGATGCATTTTATTTTTGCTCAGAAGTAGTTAGACAATAGAAACAACAGATCACAAAATATCTGGGTGAGTTCAGATAAATCAGGTTTTTTTTTTTCTTTCTTGTAAGGTGGAGTACATGCAATACTTTCGTTCTTTTGAAAGTTATGCTCTTTTTCTGCTACAAAAGTGAAAACATTAGGTACACAGTGTCACATCTCAACCCACCCACCAAAAAAATAAATCTTACTTGCTATACGTTCTTTAAATGGTTTTAAATTGGTAACAACAAAGAAGGAAATTCCATGTTCCTTTTCCAGTTATTTCACTGCTGAAAGGTATTTTTTGATTCAGCTGATTCACCCTATGTCTGATCTTAAGGGAAAAAGTTAAATTATTTCTTAAGGATTCTTGATGTTCTTATATGCACGATTAAATGCTTCTTGCTCTGAATGCACAGTTGGAGATGTGGGTACATGTACCTTGTTACATTACATTTTGCAACGCTTTTATTCGTCAAATGTTGTAATGAAGTGAAAAACCATGAAATTAAGTGAACAGGAAATCACTGTGAACATAGCTTTACATGTGTGCAAAATTTATGTGAAAGAATGAGAGAAAGCAGGAATTTGTGTGACTTTACTTTAAAAGAACTATCTCTGTGTGTAAATCCATATCAAGACATTAACTTAAGACAAATAGCTTGTACAAGGCAAAACGATGTTAAAAATTTTTTTGTGTAACAAATTTTCTATATCTCTAAAAAACTAAAATCTCTGGGCCCTGGTTGTTCAAAGGGAGGACATCACCAGTCGACAGATAAATTGCCATCCAGCAGATAAGTGTTAACAAAGCAAACAGAACTGTGCCATCCACCAGAAAGAAATTTATCCACCCTCCAAACAACTGGTGCATGGATGATAAATGCTTTTTAATTATCTCTTCCTCTATGTGTGTGAATGTTAGCTATGCTTATAATAAGAATAATGTGAAATAGTTAAAAACAAATTTGTGATGTGGTGTCATGTCACATCTATTAAAGCCCCCTCTTCAATTTATCATATACTTCACTTTTATACATACTGTCTTACAGTTATATAGAGTCTAGTACATTCTCCTTATTTAATGTTTATATTTAAAAGAACCTGATACATCTCAGTTGGGCAGTAATGAACTGAAATGACAGCACATTTTACATAAAGTTCAAAAAGTCAGTCCTAAGAAATGTAACTAAGGGTGAAAGTTTAACTGCTCTGTTGCCATCTCGTCTTGATCTTTCCATAGATGTTCACTGAGCATGAGTCAATACTGTTGAACTGACAGTTGGTTGTGAAAAGAAAAATGATATCATGTATTGCCTGGGAGATGTATTGCCAGTAAACTGGTGACCATAATGAGATAACAGTATTTGAACAGTTATACGTTTCTGATATTTTCTACATCATTAAGCAGAATTTTTTTTTTTTTTAATGTTCTGCAAGATGGTTGCTAATTGGAGAGAGTCACCAGCTAAGGTTGGATTATATTTGTGCAATATAAGTGTGTACAGTATTCTGTTACACATTAATTTGGTCCTTCAACATTTCTTGAACTCTGAAGACCTGCCATGAAGAAATATGTATAGCATTTTGAAAGGCAAAGCCACAGGAGCACAGAAAATCCAAATATAATAACAAAGGGAAGAAATACTATCCACAAGATGACGATAAGAATAGCACAAGGGATAGATTTTCCTTTTGGGGAGTACCACATGTCTGGTCCACATATTCCTTTTGATTCTTCCTTGGCATCTTCATCTTTAAAATCTTCTTGTCTCTGAGTGAAAGACAAAAGAATATGGAATATTAATGTAAGTGTCTTTTTTTCATTGGACATGTGGTAGGATAATGGTTGGTGTTTGTGACTCCTGACTTGAGAGGTTTAGATTTTGGCCTTGCGTACATCATCCAAAACACCCTGTGCTGTCAGAGCCTCTCCATCTTGAAATGTAAATGGGAGCAATAAACTTCATGGGCAGTCCAAACATTTTTTTTTTTTGGAGGGGGGGGGGGGTGTTACATGTGATAAACTAGCATCCTATTCCAGGGGAATAGCAGTATTGAACATCTGTAGTCCTTTAAAACTACAGAAACTAGGATGAGTCAATTAGCTTCTACACAGAATTTCCCTTGGTTTCCCTAACTATATACTCTATGCATAAGTGCCCTCAAGGCATAAATATCAAGTTCACTTCAAACACTTGTGGAGTAAGTTTATTTATAATTTGAGGCATGCAGACCTGCTAAGTAGGTTTTACTGCCCTGTCAAATTTTGTAACGTTATGCCTAGTTTATCTCATATGAGTCGAAAAATGAGTCACAAATGGTCATAAATTTGAAAGCAGGCTAAACTGCAGAATACTCTGCCACTCAATTGCATGTTATTGATTAAGAAAAGCGTCTACTGTGTTATGCCTTGTTCTTCAAAGCCTCCCAACACATGTAAATGAGGTGGACCAAAGTGACAGGGTATTCTGTCTTTGCTCGAAGCAGTGATTCTCTTTCGGTGGAAAACGGAAAACTTAACGAAAAAGCTAAAAGGTTGAGTCTATTCCTTGGCCCACAGTCCATTCCAGTTGTATACATCTCGAAAGAGAGGCTAAGTCGCTGAGGATTAACAACAACCCGCGCCCGAAAATGCCCTCGATCGAAACGTTTCGAAGTATTTACGAGTTGCCATTTTTATATCATTCGAGAGGCTTTACGGGAAATGTTGAATTGTCTACGTGAACACTGTAGATATTCCACCGCATGAACACAACTTGCGTGACATGGATTGATTTCGTTGCCATTTTGATCCGAACAAGTAAAGGCGACGGGAATTCGCTGAAAGCTGATTCAAGGTGTATGCTTCTATGCAAACAAGAGGCATTTTAACACGATCGGTTGCGAGAAAATCGACTGAAACCGTGATAAAACCGTGCAGTTACGAAAGATTCTGAACTCATCGTAGTGGAAAGTACATTGTCGATCGATTGTGCATTGTCGGTGTGTCTGATCACAGTATTCACAGCTTTATGTCCTATTTCAGGCATTCGTTTTAAATGAAAATTGATAAAATTTACTTTACATGTTACTAATTCTTGAAATGACTGAATCAGCGAAAGGCAACTAACTAGTAAGAACGATACAACTGTCGATGAAAGAGAACTTTGAAAATCCCAGTCGTAGGTGTGGTGATAGCGACCTTCAAAATAATCACGGAAACCCAGCTTGCATTTTCGTCTGCAGAATTATTTTGTTTGTCGTCCACTTTCACTTACTTCAGCATCAGAGGTGGCAGCCATGCTTGTGGAGAGAAACCAGCTAAAAACTCAAAGCGTCGGCCAGGCGGTTTTCAAGACCTGTTCACGTACGAACTTGTTTCATAAAAATGTCATGTAGATTTTGATCTTCTTATGTTCTCGTCATATCTAAAAATACGCATTGTGATTGGTCGAAACGTGAAACCTTGATGTAAGCGTGAAAAATACTGAAAAACGTTCAGTGTGGTTTGAAGAAGCAAAATATGCCAAACAGAAAGAGGATAAAGAAAATAAATTATTTTAAATTTGAAAAACTGCAAGGCTCATTGTTGTTCTTTATTTAAAAAAAATGCTATCTTTGCCATTTTTCAACAGTCTGTTCTTCAAGTCATCTCCCCTTAGCAAGGCCATGGCACAGGCTAAATGAAATTCACACTTTCATTTTACTACTTTGTAAAGAATTATAACTTCCGTCAATAATTACAGTTAGTATGTTTGAAAATTATTTTCGAATTGATCTTGCACAAGAATCTTTGGAAGCTCAGTGAAATCAACCTTGCTCTTCTACTTAACAATACAGCGCCATGAAGGTTATATTAAAGTTAAAGTAAACACTTATGGTTAGTGAAAGTTTTTTTCCAGGGTTGAAAAAATACCTTTAAATTATTTGTCAAAGACTTGGATTATAAACTTTCTAGTTTATTTCTTGCTGGTAAAAATATTCACAAATACTTTTGATGAAATTGGGCGGATGCTGTTTACCTTAAAGAATAAAATGCATTGTAGAAAATTTTGATTAGAGACTGTACACTTTTTGACTTGAAGTTAATGAATAAAATTCCCATTTTACACACAAGACATGCATTCCCAGGTTTTGTATTATGCAAATTGCATGTGTGATATACAAAAATCCTGTTGAAAAGATTCTGCACAAACAACTCAAAGACAAAATGACTTGCAAGCAAAAGGACAGTTTACTGTAGAGTATTACATACCATATAGAGAATATGCATACTAATGTTAGGTTGTACAGGGATTAGCCACTTCCCCAAACTGATTGTTTTGTTAAAAATGGTTTTATGTTTTTGCAGGGTTTGTTGAGAGGTTGCGACCTTGCTGGAGTCGTTTGGGAAGTGACTGGGTGTTTCTTCTGGTCCTTGGAATTGTCATGGCACTAATAAGCTTTGTGTTGGACTTAGCCATTGATAAGTGCCAGACAGGTGTGTTGAGATACATTAATTTTTATCTTTTGTGTATTTTGTGTATTTTGTTTTTTTTTTGTTTTGGCTCTCTAGACAGCAGGTTTTTAAAACAGGGGTTATGTAGTGTTGTATCTTTAAGGATGCGTCCATCATGGGAAAAGATTGCCACAATTGCATGACTGTATGTGAACTATGAATATTAATGTTGTGAAATGTATGTAAGTGATGTGATTATTGATTAACATGTGTTGTAAGTTGTGAGCAAATAACCGAACTATTGATAGACTTAACAGGTTAGAGATGAGGAGCGTGAGATAGGAGGTAAAAAAAAAAAAAAGGGTAAGGGGGCTATGTAGTAAAGGATGGGGTCAGTCAGGTTTGGGGAGTACAGTATTGTAGAGGAGGGATGAAAGATGAAAGCTTTTGATAAGGGGTGGGGCTGAGCAGTGAGTGGATATAGATGAAAAGTCAGAGCCAGTAATAAAGATTAAGGTGTAGGGTGAACTGCAGTTCACCAAAGGGACCTAATTGAAAATACCGTCAATAACTAGCTCCTGACAAATGCGGTTAAAATATCTCAACTCTCTTTAAAAAATACAAAATAAAATAAAAACAAAATTTAAATAATAAAAAAGTAAATAAATAAAAAACTTAGTGGTACACCTATCAACAGTGAAACTCTCACCAAAACACTTCAAACAATACTCCTTACGTTCTTTTTCTTTTTTCACTTTTGTTATAGTTCCTCATTTAATGTATCAAAGTCTCAATGCACAAATGTAATTTAGCAGTAATAGCTTTTCAATCAACGTATTGTATTCGGATATGGTAAAGTTATCGTTTTATGTTATTCATATTGTATTATTGAACTTTATTGTAAGTAGACTAACATCTCCCTTTGGAGAGTACGGCGCAATAAAGAGATACTATTAAAAAAAAAAAAAAAAAAAAAAAAAAAAAGGTGTAAGGGTGCTAGGTGAGAAAAGAGGGCGAGGGATAAGCTGGTTGAGTTGGAGTTAATAGGCTTGGGATAAGGGCTGGAGATAGCAGATGAAGGGGTAGGTATCAGTGATGGGGCTGCAGTGTGAGGGATAGGGATTAGGGATAGGATTAAAGAGTGAGACCTAGGGTGAGAGATAGCAGAAGAGGTGGGAAGGTGACAGGGCAGGTTGAAGTGCTGTAGGTGAGAGGTAAGAGATGAGATGTAGAGGTAAAGGTTGAGGGCCAGCAAAGTGATTCCAGGGGCACAAGGTTGGAATAAGTGAGAAATGAGAGGAGAAGGGTAGAGATAAAGGATAGTGTTAAAGAGGTTGGTCTTCAGAGTAGAGATAAGATGGGAGACTGGGTATGACCACAAATAAATGAAGCAAAAGGGTCCATAGAAACTTACATGCTCCCTTTCTTCATGGTCTGTAAATGTCTCTGAAATCTTGTGGTAGTATATTGTAATTATGAATCAATATTCATTCATTTGATGCTCTAACTTTTCAGCTCATATTTGGCTTTACAATTTACCAAACAACACCTTCCTTCAGTATATTGTGTGGACATCTTTTCCACTATGCCTAGTTACCTTTTCTGTCGGATTTACTCATCTAGTTTCTCCTCATGCCATAGGTATGTTCTTAAACTCTGTAAACCAATCATACTAGTTAACTTAGTTGTACTTTAACATGTAACTTGAAGTGATTTTCAACTTAGATATATATGTAGTCAATTTTTTTATAATTAACATTAAGGGCTGGTTATTATAACAAAGTTTAACCCCTATTAATCCAAACTTTACTCTAAAGAATCTTAGATCAAGCAGAAAAGATCGCTCAAACATTTTTTTCTGGAACTGTCAAAAGGGAATCTATAAAAGAAATGTCTAATTACTTCAAAAACCCCACCTATGAGGAACTTTTGTAGTCCATTGATTGGCAAAAACCACAGCCTAAATTAGACCTTGTATTAATAACTGTGTGAACATGTTTGAGCTGTGAAATGATTGGCATTCTCCAAAGTGCATTTTCAAGAGTAAGCGTTATTTGACTTGCTTCTGATTGAAAATTTTGTTATTGTTTTAGTTCATTCACTGTATACTTGCCTAACCAAACCACAGCTTTGTTTAAGCTACACACTTTCAGGCAAAAGTTAATTTTTCAAGCTCAACTTCAGTGGGTCATGTGTTCCCTGCCAAGGAATCTGAACACTTACGCATGTAATATACCATAATATGTTTATCAAATAAATCATAATTTGACTGTAGATCAATTTGATTCATTGCAGAATGTCAATACAGTAACTATAAAATTAGTATTAATAGTTAATAAAGTATAGTTATTTATCAACTCTTGATTTTTTGGCAGAAACATTTATTTATCAATTTTTTTATACCCTTGTATCTCTGTAGGTTCAGGCATTCCTGAGATGAAGGTTATTTTAAGGGGAACAGTTTTGAAACGTTACTTGTCACTAAGAACATTGATTGCAAAAGTGGTATGTTAATGGACAGGTTTACTTTGATTTATAACCTGATAGTTTGATGTCTATTTGTCACTTTTGTTTATTTCTGTCAGGACTATTGTATACATAAAAGGGCCTTGTAAAACTTTTCAGAAGGCCATTGTGTACCCTTCAAAACTATCCAATAGATCTAAAAGAGATTAATCCTAATTGACCCCTAAGACTGATTAGCATCTAATTTCTTATTTCATCACCTCACCCATGAATCACACATTAAGGACAAGAGAACGAACGAAATGGTCACAAACTAAGGAAGCTCTTGATTAAAAAACAAATTCTCCTTGTCAGCATCTTCAGGAATGTATAGAGAACAGTATATATTATGTAAAATATGCTGACTGATTTTAGGGTGTATTTAAGGGTTAAAATACATCACAACATAGTTAAGTAAGGAAGAAGAGACAAAAAAAAAGGGACAATTATTGATTCTGAACTAATTAACAAAGATCTGGGAAAAAGAAATTTTTAAAATAGCTGGCAGATTAAAATTTTATAATGAAGCTAGACTTATTATTAAAATCATGCAAGCTGGAATGTAGCTTCTTTTAAGACTAGTTATGTTTAAGAAGATAGTTGTGAAAAGTTGCTATTTTGCCTTGTCACAACTAATGTCACATGACCTGGTGTGCATGATTCAGAATAATACACTTTCATTTGTCTCTTGTCTTGTCTAGGTTGGTCTTCTTACTGCTCTTGGAAGTAGTATTCCCATTGGAAAAGAAGTGAGTGTTGGTTTTCTGTGATGAGCTGAAGGAAGGGAGAGATAAGAAATTGATTTCTTGTCTGGTTGTGGAGCTTGTTGCTTAAAAATGTTTGCTTTTCACTTTTTTATCAACAGGGTCCTTTTGTACACATAGCAAGTATGGTGGCACGATCTATGGGAAAATTTGTGGCATCATTTAAAGGCATATACACGGTAAGGTTTTTGTTTTCCCCAGTATTGGCCAGAAGGCAATATTTCAATGCTGAAAGTGTGGTTTATTGAAGGAAAATGGATATGGTGTTACTTAATTTGTAGAATGAGTCCAGAAATACAGAGATGTTAGCGGCAGCTTGTGCTGTTGGTGTTTCAAGCTGTTTTGGTTCTCCCATTGGAGGTACACATTGACTACTTATTCATGTATTGTTTAATATATAGCACCAGTTTTGTCTTAAATCTCTTCTCTTGCATGTACTGGGATGTATTTAAGGGTTTCTGCAGCTGTGTCTAATAATGGTTGCAGTGTGACTGGAAAATATTTTGTCCATTTTTTAAAGTGAACAGGAATATTTCGTTGCATTCTCCTTGTGAGATGTTGTTTTCAAATATATCTACTGTAGCATCCATAGGACCTGAATCACCCATTTTACCCAATGTGTGGTTTTATTCTGTCAAAAAATTAAAAAACCTGGTAGTGAAGTTTCTCAATGGATAACTGTTAATTGTATTTCTGGTTAGTTTTCTTTGAATTAAATTTTGCTCTTTCTTTCTAGGGGTACTATTCAGTATTGAGGTTACTGCTACTTACTTTGCTGTTCGAAATTATTGGCGTGGCTTTTTTGCTGCTGTCTGTGGAGCTCTTATGTTCCGTCTACTAGCTGTATTTGATAAAGAAGAAGGTATGACCATTTTGAGCAACCACATACAAGTTGCTGTTGATAGAAACAACTTCTTTTTGCCTTGAACACCTGAACACACTAAAACTCTGACCTCTTTCTTCACTAGAAACTGTCACTGCTCTCTTCAAGACTAATTTTAGGCTGGACTTTCCATTTGATGTGGAAGAGTTCATTGCATTTGCATCAATAGGGTAAGAACATCAGTTATGTAATTTTATATCTTTTTTCTTACCACATTTTATAGTCATCTGTGATTTATTACTGAACATATAGACTGCAACACATAATCTATTCATTGATTTAACATTGTAACAAAGCTGCAAAAACTTTTCCTTTTTAGGTTGATTTGTGGCTTTGGAGGAGCCTTGTTTGTCTTCACACACAGAAAACTTGTCGACATTCACAGAACTCACAAACACACCAAGGTGGCAAAATTTCTTGCTAGAAAGTAAGTTTTCTATCTGCATGTCTTGAGTATTTTAGTGTGGATAGCTCTTTCTCTCCCAATATCTAACCTTTTGCACCCTTAAATCATTATGGATTGCATAGTCTCCATACCATTCTCTATACATTTCCTAAGATGCTGACAAGGAGAATTTGTCCAATGATCAACAGCTCTTCAGTTGGTGATTATTTTGACTGCTATCCTTGTGATCTTAATGATTGATTCAGGAGTGATATTGTTAAGAAAAATTTTGATGCTTGTCACTCTAAGAGGTCAAAGGATTGGACATCAATTCTTCTCTCTGCATCAGGTATTAAAATCAAGCAATGTCCTCATGTTCATATTTTTTGTTATTTCTCATCACTTTTCTGCTTCAAAATGTATTAATATTGAATAGGAAAATTTAATTTTTGTTCAGCCTTGGGATGGAAGAATTGTGGTACTAATTGTTGATCACCATCACTCTGATGTTGAATTTTTAAGAAGTTTGATTGGTGTTATAAATTAATTACATTAAATATATTTGCTAACTCAAGATATTCCAGAACTTGTCAAAGATTGCTATCAAATATCTTTTAGTTACCCTTGAATTTGTTGCTTGTTGAGGAAATGATTAAAATGCCATTTAAGAGAGGGATCACTTCTTGTTTCTGTGGTATGGGTGGCAAATTAAAATTATGTCTGATTCTTTTCTTGTCGATCAGGCCAATTTAACTGAAATCTGGACAGGAAATTACCACCCCTTTTTTATTTAACTTAATATATAACCATACACTGGCAGTCTATAGCCATCCAAATGATTACTTGTTTTTATTTAAAAAATGGTTTTCGATAACCACCTGATCATGTTCCTCTTTGGCAAAATAGATTTAACTCTGGCATTAGTAATTAGACCTACTATAAGCACTTTTTTTCATTTTCATGACAAAGCCTTAAATTGGCCTTACATTTTGCTGAAAATCTCTCCACGTTAAAAAATGTGGTTCAACTAGATCAAGATTTTGAAAAATAAAAAGAGGAAGTGTTACCCTTTTACTAGAAAGTCACAATTTACATCACTTACAAGCCTCCAGCTAAAGTAAAAGCTACCATTTGTTTTAAGTGTGCATTCTAACCAGGTATGAAGATTGTGTGCAGCAGAAATAGGCTACAACAATAAAGGGAATTACCTACAGAAATTAAGAGATACTAAAGCAGATATTTGTTATACAATATTTTTGTTGCAGCCGCTTTGTATATCCAGCAGTTGTTGTCTTTATCATTGCAACAATCACTTTTCCCAAAGGACTTGGACAATTCATGGCTGGAGAGGTGGAGCTAGTGTATTTAAATTGGTAATAGGATGGAGTGGAGTCCAATTCAGACTGTAATCATACAGGTGGTTGACAAAATCAGATGACTGCAAAGTGGGAATCCAATTAGTTAATCACACTGACAATAGTATGATTAGAGACAAAATTGGATGACATGAAGTCCTGTTACCACTTAATCAAGACTATGACAAAATTTGAGAAAGAAACTAGACATTGGTTAATATATGTTTTCATAAAAAAACCAACAGTTAACTTAGCAAAATGCAAGACAACAGCCTCTGCACATGACGCATTCTGTCCACTTATACAGACATGACAATTACCGCAAGCATGATGTGTGCACTGTCTTATTACTGTTCAAATTGTGCTTGTGATGACTAATTTAGTTCAAGAATTTTGTCACAGTTTTGATCAAGTATTAAATCGACATGTTGTTGTGCAAAGTTTTTTTTGGTCAAGACTCTTTCAAACAAAGTTGAGTTTCATATTTGTCCAGTGTTTTTTATTGTAATCAGAAACAATGTTAAATACAGGAAAAGCAAACTGTTCAGAAATCTCATTGCTATCAATTTCAGTAATGCAAAATATGCTTTAGATATTTGAGGTTGTCAACAAGCTAGATGTCAGGCAATAAGGCCTTCCTCAATGCTGGATATCTGTATGTACAGGGACTTTAAAGGTTTGCAAAACACTGACTTAAATTGTTGTTCTCTTGATAGCTGACTCAAAAGCAAGCAATAGATGAACTCTTCATAAACATCACATGGTCTGAAGCACGAGATTCTGATGATCAAGCTAGTCTAAATGTCTTAAAGCACTGGGATGGAGCCAACACTAATATCTATGTCACCTTGGTTATATTTATTGTCCTGAAGGTATGTGTAATTGTTAGGAAAGAGTTGTCATGTGAAGTTGTTGGGTATCAAAAAATATGTTTTTTTATCACAGCTCTCATGGGATTCTTTTTTTTAATTGTCAAAAATTCACAATACAAATTTTTGTCCCTTGGTTTTGAAATTCAAAAGAAGGCTGATTTTTTTAGCAGCAATGTCTCATGTATTGTGAAACTTAAGAAACTAGAATACTTGGATTTGATTCTGACAGGTCAATTGTTTACTGAGTAATCAAGATAAAGTTCATGAGGACAAACTTCAAAAACCACACATTTATTACCATAATGATTGCTGGTTGCACTTCGGTTTTCTGATGCGTGATGGGCTTTTCCCTTAGAGCACAGTAACATTCCATAAGTATTTTTGGTGTTTATGGTTTCCACTGTAAACTGTCTGCTAGTACCAGATTCTGTTCCAACAGAGTCACATCAAGGGAGCATTCCTTGTTTAAGTGTCCTTAAAATACATATGAATTTTATTCTAAATAATTTTTTTTTTCATTTAAAGTTGTGATCATCTAAAATTGTGATTAGATTCCTCAGTGGAATAGGAGAACCTCTAAAAATTTGCCTCACTCCCATCCTAGTATGTGGCTTCATAGCTTAGCTGGTAATTACCCCAACTAGCATCTGGGGGGCAAGAGTTGAATCCCCTCAAAGCCTGAATTTTTTCTACAACTGCTTAAATTGAAGCAGCCTGCAAGGATCATTGCTTAACTTGAGTTACTGCATGCAAAATTTGTATGCAGTAAGTCAAGTTAAGCAATGATGTACTTTATGTATTGATGTATTTTATGTATTGATGTATTTTTTATTTTAATTCAGTTCATTATGACAGCTGTATCAGTTACATTGCCCTTTCCTGCTGGTGTCTTCTTTCCTGTATTTTTAATAGGTATGTCAAAATAACACTTTCCAGTAGTTCTCTTCGTTACTTATTTAATTCAATGGAATCAAAACCCCTTTCATGATTACTCTATCTTCTTGACTGATTTTCTATAGGTGCAGCATTTGGCCGGCTTGTGGGAGAAGCCATGGCGACATGGTTTCCTAATGGTGTGAACTCTGGGGATGCAGTTTCACCTGTGGTTCCAGGGGGATATGCTGTTGTTGGTAAGGAGATGAACACAGTGCAAAGCCAGCTAGCTGTAGTGTATTCGAGGACTAAGGATAGTACAGTGGAATGAGCTCTTGATTCTCTTCCTTGCCACAAGGGTTTTCTCCCAGCACAAAAGCCAACTTCCAATTCAACTTTGAATTAAACAACTACTCTGCAGATTTCCTACTTTAAAGTTCTCCCTATTTATTTTTATTTTGACCTATTTACTCATAAAACATCACAGTGTCATATCCATAGCAAACTGTTTTAAAGGCTTGACTTATGATTTAAAATTGAAAATAAGATATTTCATGCTCACAGCATAGGAAAGTACAGGTTGAGGCTTGTTAAATGTCTGTTTGACTTTTCAGTTTCAGTAGTATGTACAACTACACTCAGGTAACAGATACATTCTCCCACACACTTTCAGCAAAAGAATGAAATTAACTTGAAATTAATCTGTATGTTCTCCTTATATTACACATTACAAAACACTGTTGCATTACAGTCTTGACTTACACCAAATGAAATCAACAAATGGAAAGAGTCTATTCTTTTTGGTTTTTTTTTTTTTTTGCTACAAATTATTATTTTTTTCAAAGTAAGTAAAATCATATTAGAGTTTCCTTTGGTGGCTATCAACATTGTGCTGTGGTAGCCTTTTATCAGGTAACACAAATTTTTTTTGTGATGGTGAAACAGGAGCAGCAGCTATGTCAGCAGCCGTTACCCACACAATATCTACATCTGTGATTGTGTTTGAACTCACAGGACAAATCACCCATATCCTTCCTGTTATGGTATGTTGTGCTATATTTGTATTGCTCTTTGCCCAATTACAACTAAATTTTGTATATTATATGTCTGGTTGATAGTTATGATAACAATGCATTGTAATTTCCCCTACCTCTTCAGTAGTTAATCCTTTAACTCCCAAGATCCGATTGTTAATTAATTCTCTCCTTTAACTGTTACGCATTTCAATGTAAATTGGTTACAAGAATTTGGTGTTCAATCAAGATAATATCTTGTACCTGATATTAGTTTGAGTAATCTCACTACCTGTTTGCTGGATAACGTATAGATATTATATGGAGAAGTTACATGTTTATCACTTCTAGGAGTTAAAGGGTTAGTTATATGTAAAACTTCGAATTTGTTAGTAGGATACTGGTTGCTACGCATATGCAGAATTATTTTTTACACCATACCACTCAGCTTTCACAAAGCAAGAGACCCAACCTACTGGTACTCCAGTGCTAACATTAGGCAATGTGATAGGCATGTCACAACAATACATATAGCAAACTAGTACACCTGCTACTTGTTGGCAGAACCCCTATGACCCCTCTCAAATGCACTGAAAAGGTCACATGACAACATTGGCATGCTGTGCTATCTCCCTTAACCAAATAGAATAAAAATGGAATAAAGGAGAACACTGGAAGTTGTAATGCTATTTTAGAGTAATCCCTTGTCCTAAAATTTAACAAGCTCATGGCATCACCTCTGACACTACCATTATGATCACAACTTCCAAAAGTTTTTGAACCCAAAATACATTCCAAGTTTGTGGATTGTCAATGGTAAAGCCTATGTATAGCTTACATTATTTTGTTATTCTGTAGATTGCTGTTTTGATTGCTAATGCTATTGCACAGTGGTTACAGCCATCGTTTTATGACAGCATTATTCAAATCAAGAGGTTGCCATACCTGCCTGACTTGACAAAAACTCAGTATGTACATTAATTTTTATTCATATAATTAGATACTGCTTTATGTTAACGTGAACAATCATATTACTGAGTCTTTTTTTCTGTAGGCTTGCAAGAAAATTCAGTGTAAAGTGGCTAGAAATCTTCTTTGGAGAAATTTTTAAAATTTACAGAAATTGAACATTGATTACTACTTAGTGATTAATGATTGAGGTCACCAAGATTGTTTTACTCTTGTTAGAAAGAGGATAGTGGTATTAACACAATTTTGATTTAAGGAATTTCTACTTTTATTGCTTCCATTATTTTACCTGCCAATAACTAACCAAGGAAAGTAGTTATTGTTTGTTAAAGAAATAGTTTGTCAATTAATTGCCATGAGCAACTATTTTTGACCACTAAAAACAAGTTTTTTGAAAATCTGTCGTTAACTACAATTGTCTTTCTTAAACAGGGTGTACAACTTACTTGTTGCTGACATAATGAAGACCAATCTTTTTTACATCTCCTTTCATTCAAAATATGCTGACCTCAAAGAATTACTGGATAAGTCACATCACCGCTCTTATCCATTAGTGGATTCAGAAGGTGATACTAAAGTATAGCAAAGTTTGCCCATGTACATGTAGGGTTTACCCACATTATCCACATTATGAATATTATGAGAACTTGCAGAAGTTTGTAGTTTCATCCTGAAGTCATTGAAAGTCTTAGAATTTGAATGTGGATCATGGAAAATCATAAAGTTTACTGTACAAATCAGGATAGTTAATTATGTAGGCCAAAAAGCAAGGAATACCTGATCTACCTAATGCTCATTTTCACATACCTTACTTATAACGTGGAATGAAACATTTTCAGTTTTATGTTTTTGCAAATATCAAAAAAAGTCTTGGAGAAGGTCATGGAAATTAGGTCATAGGTATTCTGCAAGTTTGGAATAGACTGAAACCCAAGCATAGGTTACTTATGACCTAGTGGAGCATAAAGATATGTTGTGGTTGACTAAAAATATAGCAGAGTACCAAATCTATTAATTGTCTTTCAATGCCAGCACATTGTTCTGATAAGTGGGAATGCTCTTAGGACTTCATGGGATGGTTGGGGGAAGGTGATGTTACTTGAAAATATGCATTTAAGGTTTCAGGCCTGAATAGTCTTAATGAAAAAATAATCTATGTTTATCGGTAGGCTGGCCTTAAATGGTTACAATAGAGAGACAATAGATTGCTCTATAAGCTTCAATTGACTGGTGCTTTTGATCTGATTATTAGATTCAATGATCCTTCTTGGCTCCATTCAGCGACCTCAGCTGCAATCTCTTTTAAATCTGCACATGCAAAAACTATACCAGTCCAGCAGTAATGCAGAGAGTGAAGATGCATTATGTGCGAGGCCAGAAACACCAGATCCTCCACAGTTACAATCTGAGTATGTCTTAAAATCTTAATATCTAGCTCTGTATTTGAGTAGAGAGGTTCAGGAGTGGAGAGGGACCTTAGCTTGTTTTGTGTTTTTCATTTTGCTCTCAGCACCTTTCTCCATCCTGTAGTATAAATGATTTCCAATCAACTTCCCAGGAAATATTTCATGAAATTCTGACTATGTGCACTCCATCTGTAGTTCAGACTCTAGACACTGTACTCTGGTATTTAGCCACCAACTCGTCTAGAGCTAGTACCCAACTTTCTTTAAACGAGAATTAAGTTAGCAATCGGGAATCTAAGCAAACTTTTTCATGTAAATACAACCAATTTATTATTATCATGTTTCATCAAGTGAGGGAACAAAATATGTGGCCACACAATGTATCCATGACTTTTCAATGCCATGTGCACTCCTATAATCAACGGATTTCATAATTATTGTCTCATTTTATGCAAGATTTTTTAAAAAAAAGTGGAAGCTGAATTATTAGTCTCCTTCACAGCTATTGTTTTTTTTCTCATCACCCAATATGCGTTGCAGCAGTAGTGTGGTCCGATCATGTGAGATAGCATATGGTATAATGAGACCAGACAACAATTGTGGTGGAGTATACCAAAAAATACTAGAAATTAGAACATAATTGTGACGTAAGAAATTGCTTATTTATTGGTGTAGCACATGATATGCATGGATATGAAGTACTAGTGGCTTTATAGTTACTTAATTTCACTCAAAATTGCAACCTATTGAACTCAGCATTTTTTCATGTTTTTTATTGATTTTAGCTCTTTGTGTGTATTGAAAAGCTGATCGAGTTATAAATAGCTTTGTTTTGTTCCGCCTGATGTTGCTTATATCATTCTTATTTCTCCTCAGTGATCAGAGCCGCAATACCCAATCATCAGCAGCTCAACTGGAGGTGGCAGCTGAAATAACGTTAAAAGTATGAAATATAACTATTAGATATTGGTTACAGGAGAAACGTTTTACGAGAGAGAGAGGTAGTGGTATTGTAGGAAATAGTTCCTTAGTATATACCTATTGGACTAATTAATTGAAGGAGATATTTACATCTCATAGCGGCAATGAGTGACAATGAAATGCAGTGTCCCAGTGGCAAAATGAGTTCTATATTTAGTAAAGAATCAATAACAATTTTTTCAAGTATCAATGCGTTCCCCTAATAGCACATTGTATAGCTTGCATATTGCACAGAAATGAATGTGCACTGGAATGTGTAATAAGTAATTGAACTGGCAAATTCAAATACTTTACTTCACTATGGGGAAAGCATTCAAATTGAAGAATAAAAGGCTTTTCACACCTTTTTATTTAGCCGATTTGTTCTTTTTTTTTTTAATCTAGAGACAGGATAGTCAACCTCAAAAATCATCAACTGGAAAGTCTTTGCTGGAGAAAATTCCAGGTAATATTGGCTATGTTACGCAAAGTTAACTTCTTGAATGGTGAACCTTTAATAAAGCAGTATGCTATCTAATCTTTAAGCTTATAGAATCAGATTTAAATTTTATTAGTATTAAGAATAATAATAATAATAATACAAAAGAAAAAGTTTTGCTTCGTGGGAAGGGTTTTGAGGATTTGATAAGCTAGCTATTAAAGATGTATCGATACAACCAACAGCTGCTTGTTTTCGCTCCGGCGAAGGGCTAACGCTCGAAACGTCAGCTTTGAAACTCTTTACGGTGGCCTATTCACGTTATTAACTCAATTAACGATACCAAAATACCCTGTTATACTCTCCCACCGATGCAACACCACAGTTTCTTTAGAAACTTACACCCTTTTATTCATTTTTTTTCCTGTTAGTTCCTACAAGACTTCACAAACTCTTCGGTAGTGGGTCAGCTCTTAATGAAGCTGAGGTAGGAAGATAAAACCGTATTACTTTGTATTTTATTCGTTTTAATACGATTCCCTTGGCAGTTTATATACTTTTGATTCTATATTTATACCAAACTCCTTGCGAACCTTTGTTAAAATGTTGAATTGAATGGTGTGGTTTAAGTGCAAAAGAACGTCCAATCAGAACAAGTAAAATGTCTGAAGGAGCCACTGAGAGTTCAAAGAGTGGGAAACTATAGAGACTGAGTCGCCATTTGAATCCTATGTGTGACACGAGAAATGAGTGTGACACAAGAAAGGATTTGACTGTTTGTTTGTTTGTTTGTTGGTTTTTTTTTTTACGTGTAGAAAACCTCAGATGCACCTGATAAAGACAGTCCAACTGTGGATCAGGTGAGTCAGTAAGGCCTTACTTTGCCAATATCCGATTTCTATTTTTCCCTTCCAGCAACCATACATTTCCTTCTGAATTGGTTGAGAGAATTTGAGTATGTTTTGGTGAGGTAACACTCACTCGCTGCTAAGTTTTTTCTTATTTTCTTTCACTTCACTTGGAAAAGATATTGATGTTGTACAGAGAGACTAATTGCGAAGGTGAATCATGGCTGAAGACTTTTGCCAAGATAAACCTGGATTTATTGTTAAATTTGAACATGAATTGTGATTATTGTATCTTGACGGCAAATATTCAATTAAATGGGTGGTGAGTTATATTTAACTCACACCTACTAACTTTGTTGTTTTTATTATAATTATTTTTTTTGTTGTTGTTATTATTATTATTATTATTACTGTGCAGCAACTTCAGTGGGAAAAAGAACTCTTGCAGAGACCTATTGACTACAGTAACTGTCAGATTGATCCAGCCCCTTTTCAGTTAGTTGAAAGGACGTCGCTGTTAAAGGTATTGAGAAATACCATATTTGCTCAAATAAGCGCCGTGGCGCTCATTAGATTTTTCACGCCTCAAGTACGGCGCATGTTCGAGCAGGGCGCTTATTTGAAGGTGGTGTGTATTCAGAAATTGGACGCGACAGAGAAATGTTCTCTTTTGCTTTGACGGCATATTATTTATCTATCCTTATGTGTTTTGTAACGAACATATGTTATTTTAATTGTCACTTCTCGTCTATTACGAAACTTTCAGTTGCATTACCAGTAGTTTCTTCACTCAACTTCGATCTCACTGAGCCCTCCCTGATGTTGATCTTTTAAATTTATTAGGTTCACAAGCTTTTCGCGCTACTTAACTTATCGCATGCCTATGTGACCACTTTGGGACGACTGGTGGGCGTGGTCGCTCTGAAGGAGGTGAGATAAAAGAAACGAACAGACCAAATGAAAAACCTGAAATTGCGTTAAGAAGTGATCACTGTGTGAGTTAAGACGGAAATTGTGTCGTAGCTTTCCTTCAAATTTTCATACAATGTGATATTACCCACAGGTTTGCAGGCCATAACTACTTTCCACAGCTTGATTGATGTCTGTGCATGATATATGTATGTGTGCGCAAAGTTTCATTAGAATTTTTATGCACCAAATGGTTTTCATTTCAACGGTCGCTGAACTACTTCACTTGAAGTTTAAATCGCTTGCCACTAAATAAATAAACAAGTGAGAGTATTAAATTTGAAAAAAAAAATCCAAAAAGAAAACTGAACCTCGGGAATTGAGTTATGTAGCTCTCAAAAGTTTTATTTCGGTTCCTGATAGCTTCCTATAAATATAAGCTGTTTTTGAATACTTATCTGTCCTCTTAGTAACTGCTTACAAGTTAAATATATCTGTGATGGGTGATATATATTTTAACAACAGGTTCGCCAGGCAATCGAGGGTGAACGCTTCTTGGATACTTCACACGTAGACGCAGAAGGCGAGGGTCGCAGCGGCAGTTTTACGTCTGCACGTGCTCGGGATACCATGCTGAAAGGGTGTCCGGAACCCAGGGTCACTACTGGAGAGACAGATCCTACGCTGTAGAAAATTGAAATGTTCTTACCGCTAATTCCAACTCAGCTTCCCTGAAGCTTACGCCTTTTTTTATCAACGGAATGTCCGACAAACGCTAGTTACGGCTCTGACTTCGGCTCCGATCCTACTCCGTCGCTTTAGAGATCTGGCCTTGAAGAGAAAAGTATCTAGGAGTTCAGTATTCAGTGGGCTTCGTTGCAATTCAAATTTGGTGGAAAAAATATGAAGTTTTTTTACGGAAATCTCTTAACAATCGTTGATGGCGTTTTCAAAAAGATAATTATTAAGAAGAAACCCAAAAGGATGTAGGATTTCTTCGTATTTTATTCCATTATTTTTTGAGATGCATGAACCGTTCCGTTGGTCGTTGAAGCCCGCCAAGGTAAGCATGCAGAACATGCACCAATTTTTATTGGGTTTTTCAGACGAGCGCGAAAGGGAAGTCGTGCGCGAGTTCGGAGTATCTATTCGTCTCGCGCGTTACTCGTTCTTTATGTTCGACTCGCGCGTGCCGCCTTTCGCTTGAAAAGGCTCTTGGAAAATAAAGTTTGTTCTGCGGGCTTGCCGAATTGGTTAATTGGTTGTTGTAAAATACTGTTTAGACTTGTATTTGACAGCCTGTCCTCCGTATATCATATGCTATATCTTTTTTTGATCCCACAATAAGTTTTTTTTTCGTATTTATCGATTAGACATTGCTTTTTATACGTACCGACCAGAGAATATTATGATTATAGAAAATTATCATACTTCCCCAATAATACGATAGAAATGAGTAGTCTCATATCGAACGAACATGAGCGGATTACTATTATTATTATTACCGTTATCAAAACAAGTGTAAAAGAATTATATTTTATTTTGTCAAAATTAGCCATTTAATGAGGTGTATGATTATTTGGTGAGGTCGAAAGTGCTTATTTTTTAGGCATTGATCATGTTTCTTTTTTCAAGAAACTCTTCTTCGGACTTTCATATTAATTTTTGATATTTTTGTAATAAATAATTTTACAAACGTAAAGGAATTCCGTAAAAGTGAATAAAACAAACGTGTTCTGGAGCAGTGATTAAATTAGATAATAGTACTTGGTCAAGAGAGGATTACAGTTCTGCCCAGACGATATACAATTGTTTGGATCTCGCATATGTTTTTATTAAAACCATTTATTGGAGTATACATCATACGTGTTAACATACTGATACCTGTACATAAGTGATCGAGCCAAAAGCAGTATTATACAAGAACTCTATACCCTTCATTACTGTGTAAGCGTATATTGCATATTGTAAATTTCGTATAAAATGGTGTACATTCGTGTTATTGGCTCTATTGTGGAACTTTTGTTTCCTGTATGTTTGATACACATTTCTCTCAGATTCACAGGCTTCCTTTGCCTGAAAAACGCGAAACCTTTTCCTTCAAGAACGTGTCCTAATACCCTCAAGGTACGTTCCCTTCCCTTCCCCCTGACGTCAAAGCGTTTCCTCCCTCTACGTGGAAATGGGGCCTTACATGATGCAAGCTCATCTATAATATGTGGAAAGTGCGGTTTCTCAGCGTTAAGAACATGGCCCCAACGCTTAAAAAAATGTTCTATTCACCAGGGTCCAGTTGTGTAAAGGCCGGATAACACTATCCAACGGATAAATTGCTATCCAGTGGATAAGTGTTTACAGAACGTACTGCGTTATCCACCGGATAGAGATTTATCCTGAGGTTAGCGTTATCCATGCTTCGAACAACCGGAGCCTTAAACGCAATTCAAAACGTTCTATTGATTTATTCTGCTTGGAAACTCATTCCTTTCAACAGGAATACTTATTCCCAATATTCCTTTTAACCTGAGTACTTATTCCCAGGTTCTTAATCAGGGATCAAAAGCGTTAAAGGGCTGAGATTTGTTATCACTTCACATCGGCTAGGTATCAGTATCGACAAACTCTTCGAGCAACTGGATCAGTTGGTCATTGAGTTAAAATTTTTTTCAAGTCAGTTTTTTTTAATATTCAATAGATTTTGAATCATTTTTACCAACTCATGCATTCCGCGGGAGGGGGAAGGGTTGCCGTCCATAGGGTTACTCACCGAACTGATTTCTTAAAAGCCAAAAACAGATGATATTAAAAAAAAAAAAAAAGCCAACTGAGCTAACTGGAACCAAACAAGAGCAAATCTAGCAGCAATACAAATCAGTGATTAGGTAACTACAAAACGCAACGGAACTAGCCGATGACAGCTTGCCTGCGCTGTACATTGATCTGCGTAATCTCTATTTCTTTGCCTTCTCTTCACTAAGTGAAGCCAATGATCTGCAATCTGGCTTTTAATGTGGCACAACGATCATGTCGAAGAATCATAGAAGGGAGGGGTGGGAGGGGAATACGCATGTGTACAGTTTATGGTCTAGTTTTCTTTATTTCCCAGCTATCTTAGCGAGTATTTGTTTACAGGCGGCCATGTTGGATGTTTTTAAGCTTATCCTTCTTTGAAAGGTTTGTTCCGTACTATTAGGTTACTCTACCTTGCAATTCCTTATTTAACGAGGAATGAAACCGTGTTTTTTCCCCTTTTGTTTACAGGCTGGATAGACCATTTAACGAAAAATTTACGCACCTTGCAAAGTTTGTTTTCGTGCACAGAAAGGTAAGTTTAACATCTCTTCGAAGCTAATTATTTTTGTGTAAACAAGGCCTATGTTGTTTCTCTGCGCAATTTCTCGAAAAGAGTCGCTAACTGACTTACCAGTGGGAGATTCTGAGTTGAGATCATTCTCTAGTACTGCATCAAACATCCTTACTGCACATAATTTTTACATGTGTAAACTTTTCTTGGAAATGAGCAAGGATTTCTTTTTCCCTTCATATGTAAATCAATTTTCAAGTAGTGAGTACTTGAAAATATAATTTTGGCCCCTATGTTATCATAGTCATCCAACGTTTTGTTGTTGCTTTCCTAATTTTGGGAATTTTTTGAAAAGATTGCATATATCAACCATTATGAAATATTTTTATGTGATAGCTGATGTAAACAAAAAGACAACTTTGTTCTGATTACGTGACAGCAGAACTAAGAGTCGGATACCACAATTACTCCACAATGCTCCTGGACTGAAACATGATCCAGTAATGATGGGTTGTATAAAATTTTTGAAAGGTTCTAATTTTTGGCATAGTGGGTTTTGGCATTATACAATCTAGTGATAAAGTTAAGAAGATGTTTTAATCTCCTTAGGGCTAGGAACCATCTGACACCTGCTGGAGATCTTTCTAAGAACCCATTTTTAAAATTTTGGAATAGGGATTGTGGGAGAGACGATATTAAGGGATTATTGAAACAGAATAAATGATGATAGACTTGAGCACTTTTGAGTGATTGAGTTTAGTGAAATGGGACTGTCTGGTTATAAATTGATCTGCTGAAATTGTATTGGTGAAAGTAGATCATATGATTTATATATCTACTGGCCACTTTTCACCTCTATATCCACTTCAGCATATGATAGATAAATATTTGAGGAAAGCACAATTAAAAAAATTAGTTTAAACAAAGCAGTGGAGTTAAAATTCTCAAAATTTAAATAATTAACATACAGTTTTAATTTTAATATGTGTTGTATTATTTGTATACAGATATATCATGCAAAATGGAAATCACATGGATCAAAGTTGTGACAAGCAGCAGTGTTTGGAGCAGTCTTTCAGGTACTGCACTAACAAATGAATGATTACCAATTAATTCAAAGCTTTAGTACTTTTTCAAACTTCATCCAGTTGATTAAAGACAAGTTTGTCTATAAATTTATTGCTTACCTGTGTTTCTTGTGATTCTACTTTTGAAGTTATTTTCAGTAATTCTATAATAACTTTATTAAGGCTCTCTGTTAGTTTCCCTAGTCAATTTCTTTTACTGCTTCATGCAACCTCTAAATTGATTTTAAGACCTTACACCTATAGTCCACACTTTCAGATTTTATTCTTCTTGTCTAAATCTCAGAGGAATCTGAAATACAAGAAAACTAGAACATAATTTTGTTGTGTTAAAGATTGCTCTGCTCAGGAGGCATTATGATTGTAGTAAACCAACTCAATGACTTAATAATGTACTGCTTAACTTGACAACTACATCTTTGAGACTAACCACTAGCTTGCCAGTACACCATTTACCAATCAACATATCAGCTATCAAACATGTGACCTAAGTTATCACGGAAGGAAAACAAACTTTTTCATTCAAACTGAAATAGGTTCAAAATTGTTCATGCTATCCCCATAGAAGTATGCATTTTCTTTTATCTTGAAAAACACTGATTCTGGATATTTCATTCATTTTTTATGATTTTTATTGTGTCACAGAATGGGAGATTATTCTTTTTTTCTGACATGTTTCATAAGATAAGTTTATTTATCAAGACATTTTAATCAACTCATTTGTTTTTTGAGCAGAACATGATCTGCACATATTGGACTAAAAAAGCATTTCTGGGATTTGTATTTTAATTGCTTTTGGGCAAGGTTTTCAATTGAAACGTTTTATCTCAAAAAGTAAGAAAACACACAAAAATCCCAGACACCTTCTTGGGGTTCATTATATTTCTGACATTATCTCCAAATCTCACAGTAATTGACTGAATATAAACATCAAACATCAGAACTCAAGCCAAAAGTGACTTGAAATTTTTCGGGGCATCGGTGTTTGTTTACATAAATGCGTTTCTACTTCACACTTGTCAAGGCTGTTTTCAAATCATATTGAAGCAAGTCACTTGACACTATTTTGGCTGTCAGTGATCCAAGCACGGATAGGAAGAATGGAAACAATTTGTAAGGAGTTAGCATGTTGCATGAGAAGGTTAAGTGTGAATACACTTGTAAATTTGTAGCTATTTGTGTTGATGTGGAGGGTGATTCAACCAGCAAGGGACAGCATGAAAAAAGAGGAGAGAAAAGGTCAAACAGAAGAAGGAGAGCTAAAAGGCAAACACAACAAAGCAGCTCAACAATTGATGCTTAAGCGCAATGCTAAGCAAGGGTCTTGTCTGTGAGATTTTTTTCCAGACTGGCACCTTCATCAACTTCAATAGAAAAAGACTGTGGCCACTGCATCCCTTAAGTGTAGTAGGAACCCTATCAAAACATTTCTGCTCTGATGCAAACTGCGAAGAAATTTTCCTCTTTTCAGAGAGAGAGAATTAAAATTTTCAGAAATTGATAGATCTTAAATTTCTCTACTAGATATGAAATTTTCAGGAAATTGAAAAAATTACTTTTTATCCTTCTTTGATACTTTAAGTTGACTGACTGACTGATTGCCTGCCTCACTGTCTACCTTACTAACCTATTTATGTACTTACTAACTTACCTATGTAATCAGTCAAGAGGCTAATTAACCAATAGACCTTATGAATGACTTATTGTTACTAATAAATTAACTGACAGATGCACTTACTGGTCAAGCCACAGACTTGGTGAGTGAGTGGGTGAGTAACTGATTGACTGGCTGACTGACTGACCACTTGCTTGACTGACTGACTGACCTATTGATTGACTGCCATCTTGACTGACTGACTGACTGACCAATCAACTAACTTATAGACTGACTGAATGGCTGACTGACTAACTGGGTGGCAGCCTGACTGCATGATCAAATGACAGAGTAATCAACAATAAGAGGAAACAAATGGACTGATGATGTGAGCAACTGGAGGACTGAATGTCACACTGGCTATTGTACTAATGTGTGGACTAAGTGGCTAACTAAATGAAAGAATTACATATGATGGGCTGCACTGACTTGGTGACTGACTGGTGATCTGACTGTTGATCTGACATGCTGGCTGCATGGATATCTAATCAGCAAGCTGAATTAATTACTGACTGTGCAACTGACCAACTGACAGACAGACTCAAATGGACTTGACCTTGTTTGTGGTTGTTTTAGGTCCAAACTGTCTGATTTCACCTGTCCCATGTTGAACACTTGTAATCAGACAGTCAAGCAGCCAAGAGGTAAAGGCCATCAGTACAACTGAACAACTTAGCCAATACTAACCAATCAAAATGCAGAAAAATTCTCAAGGGATCAGGTTAAAAGGTCAACATTGAAAACAAATATGAACAAAATTAAGTGGTCCAATGACTACCTTTTATAGGTTGATCCAAGTCTTAGAATTAAGTTAGAGGCAAACTAAGTTTAAGTCAATGAAAGTGAGGGGTTGATTAATACCCCAAGTTGTGGCATTTATGAAATTGGCGGAATTTTATAATTCTGCATCAATGGTATGTCTAACCAAAATTATGGAATGCAGGCTATCTGTTGAAAAGTGCTAACTCAAATATGTTCCTCGACTTTTAAGCTGTTGTATTTAGGTGGGAAAGTTCCTAAAGGAAGTGTGGTGCTGCATCGGTGGGGGAGTATAACAAGATAATTTGATTTTATCAACTGAGTTGATGATGTAAATTAGCCACCGTGAAGGGTCTCAAATCTAACGTTCGAAACGTCAGCTTTGAAACTTTTAACGGTGGCTAGTTTACCTTTTAAACTCAGTTGATAAAACTAAATTATGTCTAAGAAGTAAGCAGGTTGATCGTTGTTCACTGATAATCTATTTGATGTCTTAGCATAATCACCTCAGAAAACTTGGATGTGGCTTTCTTGGAACCACACTTTGCTGAAATTATTCAATGTGATTGATCATTGGTGCCAAATTTGCCCGACTTCATTTGGAATTGCAGATCCATTACCAGAAATTCTCGTGCAAAACGCAAGAAGTTGTATGCAAATCTGATGCAAATTCAATACCAAGAACAAATACCACGATACCTGAGGAAGCGGGGGAAAAGTTACAAAATAGCAGTGTACGCTTCTTTCCTCTTGGTTGTCGATCAACAAATCGTTTTAGTCGTTTTAAACGGAAATTCAGAAACGTTTTCGATATTTCAGGCTTTAATTTTCTTAGGATTTGAATTGTTGTTTTGAACAGTTAGACGAGTGAACGTTAAAAGAAACGGACGAGCAGTCTGTGCATAACTTGTGTGTCTTTCACTTCTAGGTTTCACCAGCTATGCTCTACTCCAAGGAAGTTAAAACAAGACCGAACATACAAGTTTGCCGCCAGTCAGTGAGAGGAAAAAATGGACGAATGCCCAAAGGTATAACAGTAATAAGACACATAAAAAGCTTGTATCATACTTAAGTGCATTTTACACACGATAAAGGAGCAATTTCGAAACTGGGTAGCTCGTTTTTGCAAACATGACGCGTTTCTTGCACTTTGTTGTTTGGGAAAGAGACTTGTCCTCTTTTAATCTAAGAGATATTTTTTACTGTACGCTGAAACTGGTTTCAAAGTTTTAAAGATATTGTGTTCGTTTCATGCTATTAAGCAAGGCGGAAGTAAACGATTAAATGCATTTTGGTCTTCACTTTACTTCTGGTTCGAGGGAAACAGGAAAGAGATACGAACCCTAAGAGAGTATGAACGTGGAAAGGAAGAAGAGAATTGACGAACTCAGACTCTCTCTTGCAAGGCTTGTACATGTACTTTGATAGGTTTTATTGTGTTGTGTATTAGGTTTTGAGACTTGTATAGTACTGTGAAACTGGTCTCATAACTGTTAATTTGTTTATTGCCATTTTAATTTTACAGATTGAAGTGATGTGAAAGCTAAATGTCGTTGCTCCTCAATTTACTTGAGCCCTGATTTACCAGAAGCAAGTGGTGTTGCAAAATGACCAATGTAAGGTAGGAAAAAAACGAAAACTTGAGCAACATTCGTTGAAGTTTTTCATGGCACAGTTTGTTTTTTTTTCTTGTGACTAAGGTCTATTTAGGACGCATGCGGAATAATTTCTTTTCTCTGAATTGCAAATTCTTCCAAGTCTATGAGCATAATTGTTGTGGCATAGTTAAACACAAACTTTTGGAAGTCTTTCTTCGTTCTTCGGTGGGAAAAGTTCGTTTGTCGTTCTTTTGGTAAAAGTCTTAAGGCGGGGAACGTTTTCATAGCTCAAATTCTTGGTCTTGATTTCATTTCCCTATTTTGCAGGTTTCTTCGACCACTTAAAGCACGATACCAAGAAACACGATCACCTTAAGCCTGGGCTAGAGAAAAGTATAAATTTTGGGAAGAAAGCAAAATTGGATCGACCCCCAAATCAGAGAATAAAAAAAATGGGGGCTCGATTCTTTGACCATTTCCCCTCTACCCACCTGCCTCTCTGAGGCATTTTCTAAAAGTTAAATACCTTGGAGGGAAACCAAAAACGGTTAACCTTTCATCATGCCCTACTACACCCGACCTTTTCTGTCTACCTTTTGATACAAATGTCCTTTGATATGATCAACTCATATTACAGTACAGTAATATTACAATACAATCTTCTAATATATTACACTATATATTATAATACTATATATTATTTCCTGATTACAATCTTTTAATACAGTGTTTTTTTTCATCCATCCAACCTCCCCCACCGCACCCACCTCTCACAGGCAGTTTTATAAAGTACTGGCAAAAGTTGTCTACTTTGTGGTGTTAATATTTATTTCAAACGCATGCGTTTGTGTAACCAAACGTCTGTCTTAATACACATGCGTATTACGAAGATTTCGTTACCACTATACAAAACTATTTTTATTAGGACTGAAAAAAAACTCGTTATTGGAGCTGGTGTGGTGGTAGGTTGTAAGACCTCCAATTTAAGCCTTCTTGTCGAGGATGATCTTGGTTTTTGAGATGGCCATTATTTCATGAAACCTGTGAAGAGATGGAGAATAAATTCGAATAAGACAAAATGTAACGTTACCGTTCATGATATGATATTAACACGCATGCGTTCTAAACTGAGCCCCGTAAAGACGAGAATTCTTAGCCATTATTCATAACTAACCGCTTTTAACCTGACATTCATTTGATTAACTTGGCAACACACCTGAATAACCAGTTCCCCCTTCGTCACCAGCTAACATCTGCAGTCGTGCGATTTGTCCTTTCACCAACATTTCAAACGTTAGAAATCATCTCAGAAGCTGAAAGAGGAAAACACACAAAAAATCTAACAAGAATTTCACACCTTTGAATTAAGTTGGAAACATAAATCGCAACTCAAAGATATAGAAGAATTTTGCAGATGAGCGAACGACCGATCACTATATTTGTATAGGTAATCACATGATTTCGAGTGCAATTTGGAATAAATAAGCACGAGTAAATTTTTTGAAAGACTACCAAAATTGCACGAGCCCGTAGGGCGAGTGCAACTTGTAGTCTTAGAAAAAATTAAAAGTGCTTGTTTATTCCAAATAGCACGAGAAAAATCATGTGATTACGTGTTAATAATATACATGGAAAAATACGAGATGGCTCATCAAAATTAAGCATAAGCAAAGCGGGCACATCAAGTGCAAAAATAATTTATTTAAACCGTGCGTTCGGTCAAAACAACCGCGTACGATCAAAGCAATAATATGCAATGAGATCTTCACATCTTTAAGGCGCAAAAAAGTTCAAAGTCCGGCTAAACAGTTCAAGGAATTGTTTAGCCTGTGTCCGAATCACTTTCGATGAAATGGAGTCGTCGTTTCCGAGGTCGAACCATGTTTGTTTTTAATTTCGGCGTTGGATCGCTCGAGCAAAGTGCTAAGCTGGGTCGACTCGTAATTTTCGATTTCCTTGGCGATTTCCTTGGCAATTTCCTTCTCTAAACACCACTTTTTCCAAACCGACAACCAAAAAGCAGTGTTTTTTACAAATTTTCAAATTTTGTTCCAAGGCTCACATTTGATTGGGTATCTGTCAGTTTCTTGGATTGATAAGCGAAATACTAGCGTAACAATCCCTTAATAGAATCCTAACAGAGGGTGACACACTGACGTAACAATCCATCAAGAAATTCCTGTTAGTGCGCGACATACTAACGTATCAATTCATAAAAAATCCTAACAGTGCGCTAGATACTAACGAAACAATCGATTAAGATAATTCTAACAGTACGCGAGATACTAACGTAAAACCAATAGAGAAAATCTTAACAGTGCGTGACGTACTAATGTAACAATCTATCAATAGAATCTTAACAGCGCGCGACATACTAACGAAACATTCCCTCAAGACAATCCTAACGAGATACTACAGTAAAAATTCATCAAGAAAATCTTAACAGCACGTCACATACTAACGAAGCAGTCCATCAAGAGAATCCTAAGAGCACGCGACATACTGACCTAACAACCTAATGACAGAGCAACTAAGAGTGCTTTATATATTAGTGTAACAATCGAATAATAGAGAAACCAAAGACTGCGTGAGATACTAGCGTAACATTCCATCAAGAAGAATCTAACAGTGTGCAAGATACTAACGTAACAAACCATCAAGAAAAATCCTGACAGTATGCGAGATAATAACGTAACAATCCATCAAGAAAAATCCTAACAGTCTGCAAGATACTAACGTAGCAACCCATCAAGAAAATCCTAACAGCCTGCAAGATACTAACATAAAAATTCATCACGAAAAATCCTGAAAGTATACGAAATACGAACGTAACAATACATCGAGAAAATCCTAACAGTCTAAAAGATACTAACGTAACAAACCATCAAGAAAATCCTAACAGTGCGCGAGATACTAACGTAACAATTCATCAACAAAAATCCTAACAGTGTGCGAGATACTAACGCGACAAACCATCAAGAAAATGCTGACAGTGCACGAGACACTAACGTAACAATCCATCAAAAAATCCTAACAGTGTGCGAGAAACTAACGTAACAAACCATCAAGAAAATCCTAACAGTGTGCGAGATACTAACGTAACAATCCATCAGGAAAATCCTAACCATGTGCGAGATACTATCGTATCAAACCATCAGGAAACCCCTAACAGTGTGCAAGATAATGACATAACAAACCATCAAGAAAAGAGAGAGTGCACAAGATATTAACATAATAGTCCATCAAGAAAAGTCCTGAGAGTGCTCGATACTAACGTAACAATTCATCAAGAAAATCCTAACAGTCTGCGAGATACTAACGTAACAATCCATCAAGAAAATCCTAACAGTGCGCGAGATACTAACGTAACAATTCATCAAGGAAATCCTAACAGTGCGCAAGATACTAGCGTAATAATTCATCAAGGAAATCCTAACAGTGCGCGAGATACTAGCGTAACAATTCATCAACAAAACCCTAACAATGCACGAGATACTAACGTAATAAACCATCAAGAAAATCCTAACAGTGTGCGAGATACTAACGTAACAAACCATCAAGAAAATCCTAACAGTCTGCGAGATACTAACGTAACAAACCATCAAGAAAATCCTAACAGTCTGCGAGATACTAACGTAACAAACCATCAGGAAAATCCTAACAGTCTGCGAGATACTAACGTAACAATTAATCAAAAGAGAATCCTAACAGTGCACGAGATACTGACGTAACAATTCATCAACAAAACCCTAACAATGCGCAAGATACTAACGTAACAATTCATCGAGGAAATCCTAACAGTGCGCGAGATACTAACGTAACAATTCATCAAGGAAATCCTAACAGTGCGCGAGATACTAGCGTAACAATTCATCAAGGAAATCCTAACAGTGCGCGAGCTACTAACGTAACAATTCATCAAGGAAATCCTAACAGTGCGCGAGATACTAACGTAACAATTCATCAAGGAAATTCTAACAGTGCGCGAGATACTAGCGTAACAATTCATCAAGGAAATCCTAACAGTGCGCGAGATACTAGCGTAACAATTCATCAAGGAAATCCTAACAGTGCGCGAGATACTAACGTAACAATTCATCAAGGAAATCCTAACAGTGCGCGAGATACTAACGTAACAATTCATCAAGGAAATCCTAACAGTGCGCGAGATACTAGCGTAACAATTCATCAAGGAAATCCTAACAGTGCGCGAGATACTAACGTAACAATTCATCAAGGAAATCCTAACAGTGCGCGAGATACTAGCGTAACAATTCATCAAGGAAATCCTAACAATGTGCGAGATACTAACGTAACAATTCATCAAGGAAATCGTAACAGTGCGCGAGATACTAGCGTAACAATTCATCAAGGAAATCCTAACAATGTGCGAGATAATAGCGAAACAATTCATCAAGGAAATCCTATCAGTGCGCGAGATACTAGCGTAACAATTCATCAAGGAAATCCTAACAATGTGCGAGATACTAACGTAACAATTCATCAAGAAAATCCTAACAATGTGCGAGATACTAACATAACAATTCATCAAGGAAATCCTAACAATGTGCGAGATGCTAACGTAACAATTCATCAAGGAAATCCTAACAGTGCGCGAGATACTAGCGTAACAATTCATCAAGGAAATCCTAACAATGTGCGAGATACTAGCGTAACAATTCATCAAGGAAATCCTAACAGTGCGCGAGATACTAGCATAACAGTCCATCAAGGAAATCCTAACAGTGTGCGAGATACTAGCGTAACAATCCATCAAGAAAATCCTAACAGTGCGCAAGATACTAACGTAACAATTCATCAAGGAAATCCTAACAGTGCGCGAGATACTAGCGTAACAATTCATCAAGGAAATCCTAACAGTGTGCGAGATACTAGCGTAACAATCCATCAAGAAAATCCTAACAGTGCGCGAGATACTAACGTAACAATTCATCAAGGAAATCCTAACAATGTGCGAGATACTAACGTAACAAACCATCAAGAAAATCCTAACAGAGCGCGAGATACTAACGTAACAATTCATCAAGAAAATCCTAACAGTCTGCGAGATACTAACGTAACAATTCATCAAGGAAATCCTAACAGCGTGCGAGATACTAGCGTAACAATCCATCAAGAAAATCCTAACAGTGTGCGAGATACTAACGTAACAATTCATCAAGGAAATCCTAACAATGTGCGAGATACTAACGTAACAATTAATCAAAGGAGAATCCTAACAGTGCACGAGATACTAACGTAACAATTCATCAACAAAACCCTGACAATGCGCGAGATACTAACGTAACAATTCATCAAGGAAATCCTAACAGTGCGCGAGATACTAGCGTAACAATTCATCAAGGAAATCCTAACAGTGTGCGAGATACTAGCGTAACAATCCATCAAGAAAATCCTAACAGTGCGCGAGATACTAACGTAACAATTCATCAAGGAAATCCTAACAATGTGCGAGATACTAACGTAACAAACCATCAAGAAAATCCTAACAGTGCGCGAGATACTAACGTAACAATTCATCAAGAAAATCCTAACAGTCTGCGAGATACTAACGTAACAATTCATCAAGGAAATCCTAACAGCGTGCGAGATACTAGCGTAACAATCCATCAAGAAAATCCTAACAGTGCGCGAGATACTAGCGTAACAATTCATCAAGGAAATCCTAACAATG